AAAAAGTTTGTAAATATAACTCTTCTCATTTCATTAACTCTTTTACAAAATAGTGTTAAACACACACAAAAAAGGGAAAAAAAAGTATCCTTTTAAAGGATACAAGCTTGTATCCTTTTAGGTGATTTACACAAAGTCTGACTGGTAAAACTTTGTGTAAATCTGAAAAGTTACTTTTTTTCTCTCTCCTCGGTCACATCGCTGACGTGTAAAGTAAAAAAAAAACTTTTCAGATTTACAGAAAGTCTTACTGGTCGGACTTTGTGTAAGTCACTAAACGGACACAACTTGTGTCCTTTTAAAGGATATCCACTGAACCCAAAAAAAAATCAAAACACAATCAAATCGATCCTACATTTCTCCTGTTTGTTTAAGCTACACGAGAGCGTCAGTGCCACCACTAGGCGAAAGAAATGGCCAATTTTCAAATCTCCATCTGAATATTGCGTCAACTATCAATGAAAGCCAGAAGTTCCCAGGTCGCGCATGAATAAGGGGGACCAATATAAAAGGACACTATCATATCAACTAGGTTCTTTGGAGGGCGTGTCTTATTCAGCTGGGGGCGGTGGGAGAGCTAAGTGAATGGAAGCACGACGTTAGAACCCACTAACATATCAAATGGCCACTTTAACAAAATTCTTAGGAATGTGGCTTCCATACTCAAGAAGGGGGTGAATTGAGTATTACAAGATTTTCGAAAAAGCCCCCTTCTAGTTTCTAAATAATCATTTCAAGCAAACTTTGATATATGAAAAGCTAATCAATACATTCAAACAACCCATAATATATAATATATCACAATTATAGAACTTATTCTAGCACATACAAGATATCAAAGAAGCAATTAAAGTGCTAGAAATAAAGAGTTTAGAGAATTGCAAACACAATATGTCCTGGTTCGGTCACCACCACTTGTGACCTACGTCTAGACTGAAGTCGCTCGATCAAATCTTTCACTTATGGTCAAGCTTCACGGGTGCTTGAAAAACTTTACAATCTTTCAAAACTTCGGGTTCTTGGATACCTTACAATCTCCAAGTTTACGGGTACTTGACAACCTTACAATTCACTCCAAATTTACTTAGGTATTTGGCTATGTTGTGCAATTTTGCAATCAATTAAATCACACAAGTATGCAAGTGCACGTGTCAACAAGTAATAAAGTGGATGTGTGAGTCCAGATATCGTTCCCACGAAGAAAACTATAAAGTGGGGATCAATGTGAAGCAATCAAGGTAACAAAGATAATTTGGAAGAGGTTAATGACTAATTAAACAATAAAACTAATAATTAACTAAAAGAATGCAGTAATAAAATATTTTTCCAAGTATTAAAGATAGATTGAGATCAATTTCCCCATTATTGCAACTTCACCAGAATGCAGTAACCATGCTACAACAATTATCCATTCAGTAACCAGAACACTAATGCATGCAAGGGCTCTCACCAACTCTACATGTATACTAAGTCCCACATCTCTATGGCCAACATAGTTATGAATCATTGAGTGCAAGTTCCATTTGATTTTGTGGTGTGAATGATCTCTCTACCCATAATTAACTAATTAAATTAGTTAAACCACAATGCTTAATAACTTTCTGAGTTCACTTATATCTCTATAGTCCAAACCCTAATTATCTTGCAGCTCTCTCTCGATAAGTCAACAAGAATAAAAATAAGCACTTTATTAAGCAACTGAAAGGAAAATCATGTAACAAAGTTAAAGCAATACTGACTACATTACAATAAGGGTGCTCTATCACCCAATCTTAACAATTTAGCCCATACTTGGGTGGGAAGAAAAAACAAAGAAAGAATAAGATTCCATTAAACTAAAGTAAAGAAAACAAGGACGTTGTTGTAGCACTGCTCTCGCAGCTATCGTAGGCTCCACCACCATCATCCTTGCTTCAGCCGCCAGAATAGTGCAGGGATCCACCGGATTTGATGATCTCTCTACCAAACCCTAGCCTCACCCTTTGATTCCTTAGATTTCTCTCAACGAACCCTCAAATTCTCTCTATGTGTTTTCCCCCACTTTCTCTCTAGGATCTGATTGAATGTCTAAAGCATATGTAGCGTTTCTCGCCTCTTTTTTGTGTGTAGGGTTCATTCCTTTATATACTTGATATTCTGGGCCTCAAATAGCTCTTCAGGTCCATGTAAATCTTCATTCAAATCTGTCGTGTGAGTGGATAAGGATGACACTCTGTTTTGCTGTAATGCTGACAGGGCATTCTTTCCTTATTTGCTGCAGCTATGATTGAAGATACAACTATGTTTTGCTACAGCGCTGATTGGAGATTCTTTCCTTGTTTGCTGCAGCTGATCAGGGACAGCGCATAATGCTGCTGCATATCTCATCAGATTCTTTCCATTTCGTGTTTCAGGTCTGAATTTGGAAATGTAATCGCTGATTTAATGAAGCTTTAATGATGATCCTTTGAATGTTTTAAAGCGCGTAGCCAGCTCAGGACTCTGATTACACGTTCAGAAACTTCTTCTAGCTAATTGGGCTTGGATCCATAGCTTGCTGGTGATGATGCATTGCTGATCTCATCTGCACTGCTACAACATTGTTTTCCGATGCTACAGCATTGACCTGCAGTAAAATAACAAGTGCATTTAAATGTTTCCAATGCTCATTTATATCCAAATACACATAATTAACATAATTCTCAATTAAATCATGAAATCATAGAATTCATACATTAATCATATAAAATCAAGAGAATTATATGCAATCATGGTACCAAAATATCACAATTAAACCCTAAAATAACTCTCTTTTGGAGAGTTATCAGGATACCTCTAAAACAATGGGTCTCACAACCCTTTCAACTCAAGAATATAAGGAGGGAAATATTTGAAAATGAATATACACTCTCAAAGTGTGGATATACAACTTGAAGCACTATGAGTATATGGATTTTTAAGATATGAGCTCAAATATGTTTGATCTTTGAAAAATATGAAAGAATATGCAAATGATAGTGTAGAAGCTCTCAAATCATCCTTAAGATGTGTAGGAATAGTGATCATTACGTTTTAGGGTCATAAAGAATGTATTTATAGTGATTTTTTTGCAAAACTACCTGTTTATAGCCGTTATAGGCTTTCTGTCGCAGGGGGAATCGATTCTCATACTTAGAGAATCGATTCCCAACCTTTCCAGGAAGAGGGAATCGATTTCTACATGTGGTAATCGATTTCCTAGTTTGGGAATCGATTCTCATATGCAGGGAATCGATTCTCAACCTGTTGGAAGGCTGGAAATTTGACAGCAATAACACGGTTTCGTATTTTGGGCATAACATGAGTTGTTCTTGTCGGATTGATGTGATATTAGTCTTGTTTGAAAGATAAAAGAAATATGTACAACTTCTATGAAGAACACAAGATCCAGATCCATCATATTGGATACGAAAAATTGTATGGAAGGAAACAACAAAATTATGCAATAAATTTTAAGTTCAAATGTGTTCTAACTTGCTTCCAACCATTTTTTTGTGAAAGATCTTGACATGATAAATATGTTTTGAAGTTATAAAATATGTCAAGGAACTTTTCCATGGGTTTTTCAAATTTCTTTAAAGTATATAAAGGTTATAATTATGCAATTCGAAAAACACGTTTACTTTGAAAAAACTTTGAGCTCATGCAATGCAATCTACCATATACCCTCACATATATTCTAAGTCCTAAATATGATTTTAGACTTAGCTTCATGTCTTATGTCTTGGAACTTTATTTGAGCATGATGTTTTGACTTGTTGGATATGACAATACTTGACACTTTGTTGGTTCTAATTATTTTTCACCATGGTTATGATATTGTGCTTCTCTTAGATGTTGTCTATGGTTTGTTGTCTTTGATCTTTGTGTTGTTCTTCTAATTATTCCTTGTTGTTCTTGATTCAATAATTTTGCCACTTTGATATGCCATTATTCTTTTTGTGTGGCTACATCATACATCTTCAATATCCACATATGATTAATGCTATTTGCTCTTGATTAATACTCTTATTTTTTTTTTTTTGTCACTATGTGCAATCATCAAAACATATATTGTATCTACAAAGAAAACGACGGATCTATCACACCAACTACTTTTGTGAAACTGCATTGCATGCAAATTAATTCTACTCTGGTCCTTTCTTACAATATTAACAAGAAAATAGAGAGATCAAGATCGAGAATCATGATAAAAATATAAACAATCAATATCAACAAAACTTTTATCTCAAATTAGTTAGGGTCGTGATAGATGAATCCAAATGAAAAATACAAAAAAAATGAGATAAATGACAAAAATAAAATTATATATATATATATATTATAAAAAAAGCAATAAACAAAAGTAATCCTGTCTACTTTAATTCCGTACAAACATGCGTCTACTTTTTCTTTTTCATGATAATTATTTTATTAAGAATTTCTTTGCTGACTTTCGGTATTCCCGTGGTTTATGAGGTAAACAGTCAAGTTTGTATTTAACCAAATGCACAAGGTACACAGGATGGCCTTTTTGTGATTAACATCTCTTCCTCTATGTCCAATTCAGTTCACATCCTCTCACACTATACTGCCAAACTGTCACAATGATTAACCCTCAAGATAAAGCCATATGCTCTTTGCCAGCAGCAACTTTGAATGTTATCCCAAGTTCCTTCTATTCCACATCGATATATGTTGTTTTCAACTTGAATGGCATGCCATAAAGAAAGAAAGCTAGTTATATATATCCCACCGCTACCTCAAACTCTAGAAATATGATCCCAATAAAACAAGGATTTTATAAAAGTTATAACGTAATAAAATTGATTATGTTATGTTATAGAAATTCGTTTTACGTGCCGTAATTTTTTTTTTCTTCAAAACATGTGAACTCCACAAAATGTTGTGTGTGTAAAAAACTTTTTATGGTCATGTTAAATGATGAATGCAAATCCCATAAAACAATACTACTAATCCGATTGAAAGCAAAATAACAGGAAGAGTTAGACTACATTAAAATTGAACTCATAAGAATCAATAAACCAATCATGAAAATTACAATCACAAGCTCAAATTGAGATGGATATTATTGTCGATTGTAATCAAGTATTCAAATTTACATCCACTTTAAAATTTGGCGTATATGGTAATGGCTCTCTCAGCTTTATGCAGAGAAGACATAAGCGGAGAGCCAAAAATGGTTACAGGGGTACAAAATCAGGAACAAAACTTGGTTAAATCCGCCCAAACTGGAGTTTGCCTGAAAAGCCATATAATGTAGATCAACTGTTGTATTTCTCCTTGACAACTAAGGCCGCAGCTCTGTACCATGACGCAGCAGCCATTGCACCAGGGTCAGGAACTGATGAAAGAATCTCCGCAGACACGTAAGTTGAACGCCCAGCCTGCATATGCTACCTCATCAGATCCACTAATGATGAAAAAACAGCGAATAAAAGCATGGAATTGATCTTCAGGAACTGTTGCATTATTTGTACCATCTATAGGACTACTATTATCTAATAGAATGTATTGTTAGGTTGAATTGTTTACAAACTGCATGGTTATTCAAAATGAGCTTCCCAAAGTTCGAACTCTGTATTATCTCAATCCCATTCTTAAAAGCAATGAAACCAGGTTCACTTGAGCGCAACTCATCAACTAAACATAACTAAAATAGAATAGAATAGCTAACTGGGAAGAAGGCTATCTCGACAGCACAGAGATCAAATTTGCATAATTTCAATACCACTCTAAATTTATCAAAGCAGTATGCATATGTTCCATTAAGTTAGAAAATTTTTTAGTGCATCACATTCCTGATACACCTAAACACAGAAATTAACCACAGTTTAGTACCAATTCAACCAAAGATACTTTCAATTTTGTATTTATATTCCGCAAACAATCAGTTGTCAAGCATTACTTAATCTTTTATCAATCAGTTGTCAAGCATCAATTATCCTCAGCAGAAGATTATGTACTGCACCCTTGTTGATTGAGAATACAGAAAACAAGCTAATGAAATTATGATTGTGTGTATTTAGGAGATTATCTTCATTTATAAATCATGATAGATCATTAAACTTCATATTCCTCCATACCCAGCAGCAAAATGAGGTAGGTTGTATAGACAATTGTCAGGGTTTATGGGTTGCAAGTTGTAAAAACAACACAGCCAAAGTTTCACAAATGCAATGGCACAGCCTTGGGTCTACCATCCAGGCTTAATGCAAAAAGATGAAATACAACAAAAATTTATATACGGAATCTCAGCATTTCACACTGAAAACCCCTATTCACCATTGCTTACCACCCACATTTTTACCCCTTTTTTCTGAAAAAGAAAAATCAGCGTAAAATATCCATGTTAAGATATGAGGTAAGATCCACCAATTATAATTGCGAACCAAAACAAAACACACAGGAAACTGATACGACACCAAAAAGAATGTACTCTGGGAAGAGGTTTAGAGGATTGTTAACCAATGCTGACTCAGCTATGAAGAGGGAAGAGGAAGATTCTGGATGCCACTTTGGGGAGCCAATTCCATTGGAAGAGAGAGGGAAGCTAATGCTGATTTGGCTGAGTTACTTAGGCATGGAAAATAGGGGACAGGTTGGAAGAAGGGGTCAAAGCAAGTTAGGAAGCTGGGTCAGATAATGAACCTCAAAAAGGAGGGACGCTGCAGATGTCGATGTATAGCATTGTGGATCTTTTTTCGAGCTAAGGGGTTCCATTAAGGGCGCAAGAGTGATTATGCTGGTAGATGGTGGGGAGCAGTGGCAGTGTCTGGAGTTGCTTGTTGATGAAACTCCCAATTTTAAAGTCGAGGTGGGCGACGGGTATCGAGTGGAGAGTAGTGTCTGCAGACAAGTGGAAATTTTAATTCTAGGGACAAAAATGCATCAAGATTTGTTTCTTTGATTTTGGAAGGGCGGAAGTGATTTTGGGGCAAGATATGTTAAAAAGCTTAGGAGAGATTAAGGTTGATTTCAATAAGTTGACATTGAAGATGTCCATAGGAGGGCAGGATGTGGTTCCAAGGGAAGATCCACCAATTATAATTGCACAGGGAAACTGATACGATGCCAATAAGATTGTACTCTAGGAAGAGGTTTAGAGGATTGTTAACCAATGCTGACTCAGCTATGAAGAGGAAGATTCTGGATGACACTTTGGAGGGCAATTCCATTGGAGGAGAGAGGGAAGCCTACTGCTGACATGGCTGATTTAGTTAGGGAGGAGAATATATGAGGTGATGAAAGGGAAATAGGCGAAAGGCTGGAATTGGACTTGGGACTGGGAGAGCTTAGCACCCCTCTAATGTGCTGCTCTTTAGTTTTCTTTTGAGTAGTGTTGTAATCAAGGTACAGTGACCTTTTCCCTTTTTCAGGCTTTTCTTCATTTCTGCAATCTTGTAGCTCTTTTCTTATTAATATACAGAAAATTACAGACACTTGCCTGGGCAAAAAACATTTGTGATTTGTCTGTTATATTTCTTGACTTGATTGTTCTGGTTTATTAGAAACATTTACTGTGGTTAGACAGGACTATGAGGGGAAATGTTCGGCTAGGGGCACGGAAAAGTTCCTTAAAAAAATGTTAAGTTTGTCTAGTGATAGCATTCCAAGCTATCAGAGAAGTGTTCTGGAATTTTTTTCTTCCAAATACTAAACTTGATCTCATTATTATCCTTGTTTAGGTTCCCTTCTCCCTTGTTTACAAGTTTTTATAAACCCTTGGTTACCACTAACAAATAAATTTTATTTTAAAATGGTCAAATAATACCTACCTACTAATTACAGGATTAATGTTTCGCGGAATAATGGTGTAGTGAGAATTACATTATCAGAGAATCATTATGAGACACTTTCATCACTGATTATGTAAAATATTTTACTGCAAGATAAAGGCTTCAGTTGCTACAATAATTCTTTACTGATAGTGTAAAAAAATCAATAGTGGATTAAATTTAAACTCTTAATTATAAGGAAGCATCTAGACCACAAACATTTTCTCACTGAACAAAGAAGAATCCATAAGTTGTCACCTGTGCTTTCATGTTCTTGGTTGACTCAGCTCCTGCTAATGCAGCTTCAGAAGAGAGAACAAAAGCAGTGGAAGGATCATCACCAGACTTCAATGACTGTAAAGCCAAAGCATAGTAAGTAACAGTAAATAAGGTCATGCAAATAATGAAGTTGAAGTGAACAGCAATTGACAACACCTCTTCAAGAGCTGATAATGCTGGAATAAGTGCATCTAGCAATGTTCTATAGCCAGCACTAGCGCCCCCATATTTACTTACAGCAGCAATGGAAGCCGCAAGTGCTTCAGCCCCTGAATCAGAACACTTATGAGGGATGGACAGTCCAACCAAAACAGGATAAAACAAAGGAAAAATAAATTGTAAAATTCTAGTTGAATGTTGCTAGATTTGGAGAATATTCTCACATTGTTTTGCTGTGACACCATTATGGGAGTTTGCTTTCAGCTGTGTATATGCTGCCTTGCAAAATATAGTATATCTGGGTAAAAAAAGAAAGACACAAAATTAGTGTGAAAAGGATAGTAATCAGACAGCATAAATAATTTAACTTTAAAGAAGTCATAGGAACGGCATGATACATGATCCCACTTGTTCCTCCCATAGCTCTTCCAATTGATAATCCAATTTCACCGACAGTTTCTGCAGCATCATTCAGAGGGTAACTGTGAACAAAAAATAGCAGTTCGGGTCAGCCAGCAATTACAACTCAAATTGACAATGGATTTGCAGCAACCTCCTTAGTAGTTTCTCAAGGGCACAAAAAGTTATAAAGCCATCAAAAACATATACCAATACTCCATCAATCCAATACACGAGTAAATAACTGGCCACCCATGAACTCAATATATTAGCACTAATAATTCATGGTTATATTTGTTAGAATATTAGATATGATATGATTAGATTTGATTAGATATGATTGGATTCTGTCTTATCCGTAAATAGTCTGACTGTATTCTGACTGTATTAGGATTAGGTTTGGATTAGGTTTGGGCCTTACACTTAAGCCCATTAGGGTCTCTATATATTGTAACTCCCTGACACAGATCAATACACAACGTATTCTTTTACATTTAACTTGGTATCAGAGCTATTTCGTTCTGGGAACCCTCGCTTCCGCTTAGAAATCTTGTTCTTCGCTTTAAAACCTAAGCCCACTGCTTAGGAGTCATCTTTTCTTTGCCGTGCGTCCTTCCGGTAAGATATCAAAGGCTGTAAGTCCTCTCCAGGCATCTTCTGCACGTGTCCACAGTCACCGGAGCACCATCAGCCACTATTCAGGCTGCCGGAGTACTTTTCCGGCGAGTTTTCAGTCTGGAACGAACGCGAACAGAACCCTCTCCTCCCGGCGACCTGCTCTGTGGAAGTCCGGCCACCATCGGAGTTGTCACGCGCTCTCACGCGCCTCCAGTCTTCTCTGCGCGTGGGCTTCACGCGCCACCTTCTGCCGGCGCGTGAGCACTATTCCGGCGGCTTTTTCCGGCCGTTCTTGGACAGAGAAGCTCGTCTTCTCCTCCTCTTTCTGGATCTGTGGTTGGTTCTTTGTGGGTCTGACTTTTTGTGCGCACCTCTTCTTGATTGGTGATCAGGTTCGTTTCTCTTTATTCGGTTTGTATCTTTGTGATTTGATATGGCAGCAAACCCTCCAATTCATTCGGAGGTCAAGTCTTCATCTCCTCCTTTGAGAAATTCTCCCAATATCATCTCTACCAATATTGGGTCCATTACCTCTTCAAAATTGAAGGGATCTGTTAATTACAAAGAACTGGGCCACCTCTGTTCGAGTTTGGTTCTTTGGACAAGGATATGGGAACCATCTCACAACTAAGTCTACTGATGTCCCTAAGGAGGACAAGTCTGATTGGGAAAAGATTGACAACCAACTTCTGAGTATCCTCTGGCAATCCATTGATCCGATTGTCTTGGATATCTTTTATTCATTTCAAACTTGCACTGAAGTGTGGGAGGAAGCAAAAAACCTCTACACTAATGATGTTCAGCAGCTCTATTTCATCATCTCTCAGTTTATGGAATTGAGCAAATCATCCGACATTCAGATAGAGACATATATTGTCAAGAGTCGCTCTTTGATGCAGGCATATTTGGATATGCTGCCTTACCCTACTGATGCTACTGCATATCGGAAACAGGTGGAACGTCTCTTTATGGTTGCCACACTTTCTGGCCTTCCCGAAGAATATGATAATGTTCGTGATACTATCTTGACTAGTGGGGAGCCTGATCTATCCATGACGTATCAGCGTCTTCTGAATTTGAATAAGAAATCTGCTCCTGCATCGTCTTTTGCTGTTGATTCTACTGCTCTAGTTTCCCGTACTGATTTTCGCGGGCATATTGGAGGTGGACGTGGTCGTGGTAGAGGCCCAGGAGGCCCAGGAGGACGTAGCCCATGAGGTCGTGGCCCAGGAGGTCCAGTCGGACGTGGTCAGCGACCTCGTTGTCATTACTGTCAGCAACTTGGTCATTATGAGGAACGCTGCTACACCAAGTATCCTCACATGCGACCTTCTTTTGCTGCTAATGTAGCTCAATCGGATACTGCTTCAAATGGTTCAGTCTCTCTCTCCTCTGAAGAATATGCAGCATTCCAGGCCCTTCTCAGGAAGTCCTCTCCTCAATCTCAGGCCTCTGCTTCAGAAACTGGTAATCCTGTTGCTTGTGTTTCTCATTCTGCATCACTTGGTCCTTGGATATTTGACTCAGGTGCTACTGATCACCTCTGTGGTAATAAGGAACTCTTTTCTTCCCTTACATATTCTAATAATTTACCCTCTTTTACTCTTGCTGATGGAACTAAGGCCCCCGTTCATGGGATTGGACAAATCTGTCCAACCTCCTCGTTGACCTTGACATCTGTCTATTACATTCCTCACATCCCTTATAATTTAATATCAGTTAGTAAATTGATCAATTCTCTTAATTGTATTGTCACATTCTCAAACCATTATGTTTCTGTGCAGGACCCGGGTACGGGGAAGATGATTGGAGTGGGCCGTGAGTCACGGGGTCTGTTCTACCTTGATGTGCCGAGTCCTTCAGTTGCTTGTTCTCTCACAGAATCTCCACAGCTCATCCACAGTCGTCTCGGGCATCCTAGTCTTGCGAAATTGCAGAAGATGGTTCCTCTTTTATCCGGTCTTCAAACTTTAGATTGTCAGTCATGTCAGCAAGGAAAGCACATACGCTCCTCCTTTGCTAATCGAGTCAATAAACGAGCTGATGCTCCTTTTTCAATTATTCATTCAGGTTTTTGGGGTCCTAGTCGTAGTGTGTCTATTTTAGGTTTTCGGTATTTTGTCACCTTTATTGATGATTTCTCCCGTTGTACTTGGATTTATTTAATGAAAAACCGCTCTGAGTTGTTTTCTATTTATCAAAAGTTTTCTGCTGAAATTCATACTCAATTTGGTGCTTCTATTCGTATTTTACGTAATGATAATGCTAAGGAGTATGTTTCTGTTGACTTTTCTCACTTCTTAGCCACACATGGTACTTTACACCAAACCACTTGTCCTCGCACTCCACAACAAAATGGAGTAGCTGAACGTAAGAATAGACATCTCATTGAGATTGCCAGGACTCTTCTTATTCACATGCATGTTCCTCTTCACTTCTGGGCTGATGCAGTCCTTGCTTCTTGCTTTCTCATCAACCGCATGCCTTCATCTGTGCTTAATAATGATATTCCTCATAACTTATTGTTTCCAGATGTTCCTCTCTTTCCTCTATCCCCACATGTTTTTGGTTGTACCTGTTTTGTTCATGATCACACTCCTGGTAAGGATAAGTTAACATCCAAAGCCTTTAAATGCATTTTTCTTGGTTATTCTCGTCTTCAAAAGGGTTATCGCTGTTACTCTCCTGACCTCAAGCGTTACTTAGTTTCCGCGGATGTCACCTTTTTTGATCAACAACCCTTTAATTCTATCCCATCTCCATTGTCACAGGTTGATCATGTTCTTCCTGTTCCTTTTCTTGACTTGTCTTTGCCAGATGCAGGTGCTTCTACTCCAGATAAGCCATCACCTATTGCTCCAGTACCTAAGGACCGTCCACTTCTCACTTATCAGCGTCGTAAGACAGTACCTCCAGTCGACTCGACCCCTGCTGACTCATTGCCCTCTGCAGTTGATTCTTCCCCTCCGGATCCTTCACCAGAGGCTCTTCCCATTGCTCAAAGAAAAGGTACACGTACTACTCGTAACCCTTATCCTCTTTATACCTTCTTGAGCTATGATCGCCTTTCTGCTCCTCATTTCACCTTTGTTTCTAGTCTTTCTTCTGTTTCTATTCCTAAGACCACAGGTGAAGCACTTTCCCATCCAGGATGGCGCCAAGCGATGCTTGATGAGATGACCGCACTTCATACCAATGGCACTTGGGACCTTGTTTCTGCTCCTCCAGAGAAGTCTATAGTTGGTTGTCGCTGGGTGTTTACTGTGAAAGTTGGACCTGATGGCCATGTTGATCGTCTCAAGGCACGCCTAGTTGCCAAGGGTTTTACTCAAATCTTTGGCCTTGATTATAGCGATACATTCTCTCCAGTCGCTAAGATGGCGTCCGTCCGCCTATTTCTTGCCCTTGCTGCTGTTCGTCACTGGCCACTCCTTCAACTTGACATCAAAAATGCCTTTCTTCATGGTGATTTACAAGAAGAAGTTTACATGGAGCAACCACCTGGTTTTGTTGCTCAGGGGGAGTCTGGGAAGGTATGTCGTCTTCGAAAATCCTTATATGGTCTCAAGCAGTCTCCTCGAGCATGGTTCAGTCGCTTCAGTTCTGTTGTACAGGCGTTTGGCCTAATTCGCAGTAAAGTTGACCATTCTGTATTCTATAGGATTACATCTCCTAACAAGTGCATCTATTTGTTAGTCTATGTTGATGACATCATCCTCACCGGAAGTGATCAAGACGGAATCCATCAGTTAAAACAACATTTATTCAGTGCATTTCAAACAAAGGACCTTGGGAAGCTGCGTTACTTCTTGGGAATTGAGGTGGCGCAATCTAGACAGGGCATTTCTATCTGTCAAAGGAAGTATGCCTTGGATATCCTAGAGGAGACTGGTATGTTGGGGTGTAAACCAGTTGATACACCAATGGATCCTAATGTTAAGTTATTGCCCAGACAGGGGGAGCCGTTATCTGATCCTGGACGTTATCGAAGGCTGATTGGGAAGCTCAATTATCTTACTGTGACTAGGCCAGATATTTCTTTCGCTGTCAGTACGGCCAGTCAGTTCCTTGATTCCCCTTGTGATTCACATTGGGATGCTGCTGTGAGGATCCTCCGATACATCAAAGGAGCACCAGGAAAAGGTTTGTTGTATTCGGATCAGGGAAATACAGAAATTTGAGGTTACTCAGATGCCGATTGGGCAGGATCACCCTCGGACAGACGCTCTACTTCTGGTTATTGTGTCTTCTTCGGAGGAAACTTAATCTCATGGAAAATCAAGAAACAACCTGTTGTTTCCCGATCTAGTGCAGAAGCTGAGTATCGTGCAATGGCAAATACTACCTGTGAGTTGATCTGGTTAAAGCAGTTGATTCAGGAGCTTCATCTTTGTGAACAGAAACAACCCATGACACTCATCGTAATAATCAAGCTGCGCTACATATATCCTCTAATCCTGTTTTTCATGAGAGGACCAAACATATAGAGATTGATTGTCACTTCATTCGGGAAAAGATTCAGTCAGGAGAAATCAAGACAGCTTTTGTCAACTCGTCTAATCAACTAGCAAATGTTTTCACTAAAGCTCTTAGAGGTCCTCGGGTTGAATACATTTGTAACAAGCTTGGTGCTCATAATATATACGCACCAGCTTGAGGGGGAGTGTTAGAATATTAGATATGATATGATTAGATTTGATTAGATATGATTGGATTCTGTCTTATCCGTAAATAGTCTGACTGTATTCTGACTGTATTAGGATTAGGTTTGGATTAGGTTTGGGCCTTACACTTAAGCCCATTAGGGTCTCTATATATTGTAACTCCCTGACACAGATCAATACACAACGTATTCTTTTACATTTAACTATATTTAAGCAAGAAAACCAAAAATATATCTAAGGCTAAGCAATATAGAGCACAAACTTACTTTTTGATGTCATCAAGAATTGCTTTTGCACCTCTACACATCTGCAGAAAATAAACCAAATACAGCAAGTAACGCATATAATATATCAGCAATTATAAAATAAAGGGGACAATTTCAAGGGTAGAACTCACAGTTGATCCACAGTCACCATCACCAACTTTACTGTCCCATTCATTTAGACTGTCCTTGAGATTTAAAATTGCATTTGCAGCAGCATCAATGACTGCCTCAAGTACTTGGCCTTGCTCATTTAGTTGTAGTGGCCGACTTTGAGGCTTACATAAAGCAAATATGGAAACCAGATTTTGCAAATTATATTAAGACAAAAGAAAACTTAAAAAGACAAAAAAAAAAAAGAAAGAAAGAAAGAAAAAAGTAGAAAATAAAATATTTATTTTCCACGACAAAAGATAAGATGTCAAGAAGTTGAGGTGTTTTAAGCATCATTGTATACAATTATTATAATAGACATATACTAAGTTGCTAAAATGACATAAACAGGAGCAAATAAGAGACGAGTTGCGAAAAAGCACATAGTTCACATATTGAAAATTGAAGGAAAATATTTTCATACAAGCAATGCCAACTCAAATTTACAATCTTGTTTTTACCAATTGTTCACTTATAGAGAAAGACAACTAGATCGATGAAGATTAAAAGTCACTGTAAAATGAATTAAACTACGAATACAAATGGATGGTAGTCTTGATTCTTGACAATTTTTTAATGTTTGGTGCAATAAATTAAGGGTTTAAAGTTTCTCATATCGTAGGAGATAAAATTATATCCTACACACACATAAAAATATGCGGGGCCTAGTTTTTCTTTTTCTCTCTCTTCTCCTCACATGGCCACACACACTTTTATGTGTGTGTAGGAGATAATTTTATCTCTTACAATATGAGAAACTTTAAACCCATAAATTAAATTTAACCCTAATACAAAATTGACAACCTTAACATGATGAGTTTCACATTAAATACAGAATTCATTACAAATTTTTAGTCTAATAATGCCCACTTAATCTGAGTAAGAATTCACATGATCATCTTCATAGGGTTGCTATTAAACATAGTTTGTCCTTGACTAGTTTCTTATACCACAATTATTACATGTCATAGAAGGGAAATGACACATAATTTCCATGGATATACCTCATCACTCTTTGCTGTTGGAGATGGTGGAATTGGAACAGGAATCTTAGTAGGCGGGTGATTACCTTTAAAGAAAGAACAATTTAAAAAGTTCAATGAATGAGTAATTAATTATTATGCTCCCATCAATATTGGAGTTGAATGCACACTTTAGAGAGATTAAACCATGTTGTTACTAGAACAATACAGATTATTAACATAATCACTGGACATTGTAAAATCGTATGTAATATAATTGATTGACAAAAACAACTAGAGCAAATTACTGACCATCAACGCCAACCGGCCAATAAGGAGCTTTAGTTGCAGCATCTAATCGTTGAAGAATAAGCGGATCAGCCCTCATGATAGAGATTGAGAAACCTGGGAGAAAATGAAATATAGTAATCAGAACTGCTTAAGGAATCACAAAGAAAAGCTGGTTGCCATAATCCGTGGTAACAAACCTGCCATATCTAGAGAAGTCATAAATGATCCTGTATAAACTCTATCAACAGCCAGTCCATGCTCTAGCTGCAATTTTGGAACTGCTTTTCCTACTGCAATCATTAGTTCCATTATAGGGGTGCCACCTAACCTGCATTTGAAGAACCTTGTAGAAGGTAAATAATCATTCTCCTTAAAGGCAACTTTTATGCCCAAAAGCAATCCTAGACATCAATAAAATAATAGAAAGCATTTTCTGAAAAAATATTTGAAATTTCGAATTATGGGGTTCACTTGAGTTTGGAATATCTGAAAAGCTATTTTAAAAGCAACGTTTATGGCAGAAAAAAGAAGCATTTTTTAAAATAAAAGCAGGAGTTCACAGATACAGAAGAGAAGTTTAAAGAAGGGAGATAAAAAAAAAAAACATTGTGCCAAAAGTAAAACTCAAAAGATTGATGAATTATTAATGCTACCTAAATTAAAGGCAATATATTTTCAATAATGTGGAAATACATCAAAGTTTACAATTTTTATTTTATTATTTTAATAAAACCGATTTTTTTTTGTAGACAAATTGATGTTATCTTCTTTTTTCAATATTCTATAATGAGAAGATTTATAAAATTCACTGCACTAGAAAAATGCAGACATATACTTACACAAATGTTTCTGTGAAATGGTCCTCAGGCCCAATAATAATATACGGGAATTTTACAGCTAAAATATTTAAAAAAAAAAACTTTAGTTTTCAAGCAAAGATAGTATTCCTGAACCTACCCATTGACCATGAGGACCACTCTACCACCTCGAGTTATTGGAACATAGTTTGTTTCCTGCAAACATTATGAAAAGAAAAATATTGTAACTTATTCATAAAATGATAATTGCACGGCATACAGCAACACAAAATCAGTTATATACTTAAAGCAATCCCATCAAAGCAAGAGTAGATTAATAAGCAGATGCCATTTTTGGGTCAAACTATGTACATCATTCCATACAATACTCTGACATACCGGGGACAATATCTGATTCATAACATGAGAAACCACCACATCTACAGGCTGAATATCAGCTACAGCAGCACCAGGTTCTCCATGCTATAAAAAAGTAGCACTTGTAATCAGCATAATTTGGAATTGAGAAATGAAAGCAGTAAAGAAAGACTTCAATCACTCCTATACTTTTTTCTTTGCACTTGGGATAAACATCAAATAACCCCTGAAATTTATTTTTGAAAGAATCATGTATAAGGAAATAGAAGTACAAAGAGAAAGAATAAAAGGAAAAGACATTATTTCCGGCTGAAAACCACAAGAAAAATAACAGCAGAAATAACTTGTTATAAAACTTAGACTGACATATTTGAACTATGACAAAAATTTTGGAGTTTTATTCTTTTTCTTGTTGAGGTGTCTAACTAAACTAAACTTACAATTCCAAGACCCAGTTCCATCTTTCCTGGCCCCAAACGATCTGACGTAACCTGTCCAGGAAGTGTGCACACAGTTAAAGCAACACCCATTGTCCCCACCATTTCAGATGCATGTTTTGCTTCTGCAGCAACATCAGCTAGAGAAAGACCAGCAGCAGCAGCAGCTCCTGCAACCTGCATCACTCAACAAAATATCATTAAATGTGTAAATAAATGATAACTTGGCACCAAAATATAATATGTTGATATAATGATATTTATAATATAATTTCAAGAAAAAAAAATTCACATTAATACACAGGCCAAAAAAGTCCATATGTTAGCATGAAAAGGTGTACTTTAGATGTAACTATATATGCAGGGGGAACAAAAAAAAAAATGCAGAAAGAACGGAGGTGGCTTTGTGAATGAACCTTATGAACCAGAATAGTCCCTGCCAAACCTCTTCTTCCAGCAATCCCTCGAGGTGGAGGTAGTGCACAATCATCCCCAACAATGACAGTCTGCACAGTGCAAAATACATGACATACTTTACCTACATAATAATTTTTTTAAGTACAAGGTGAAATCACTTGCCACTAAACATACCTCTACTTTATAACCTTCAGATTTTGCTTGCTCAGCAGCCAAACCAAAGTTCAAACGATCACCAGTATAGTTCTATCAACATCCAAATTCGAACACTATGAATCCAGAAACAAAAGCAAATCCTAATGACTCATAATGAACTGACCACACTTGTGCATAAACCACACTTACTATCTCATAAATTCTGCACAGCTCAAAGCTGATTTCACAGGATGTCAAATTTTTTCTTGTGCATGGTGACAATTTTTTAAATAAAAAGACAGTTGCTTTTAATTCTTTTCACCATTTCTTGTCTTAATTACAGCAGACAGCAATTTCCACATATAGGACATCTAATATGAACACTGATCTGAAAGACCAAAGTAAAAACCTGTACCTAGGATGGCAAAGTGCTAAATTATCACATAAGGAAAAAACAAGTAATACCTTTACAATCAGAAGACATCCCATAGGACCAGTTACAGCTCGTATCCCCTAAATTTGAATCATAATAGGTGCATCAGAATTATAAAAGAGATCAGTATATTTATAACTGAAAGGGTGATATACATATCACTTCCAATAGTAAGAAGTATGCGTACAGCTAGAATTGAATCAACCGGTGGAGAAGCAAAAATATCTCCACAAATGGCTGCAGTCAGCATTCCTTCTCCCACATATCCAGCATGAGCAGGCTCATGGCCACTTCCTCCCCCTTTAACATGAAATGTAGAAGTACACAACAAATAAAGTTATGAAATCACAGTGTTTGTGCTTCATTTTAGATACGTTTTACAAGGTTAAATATCATACTTCCAATATGTTTTGATGGGAATCCTAATAATATAACTACTAAAAATTGAACCACCAAGCACTATAACAGTATCTAAGGGATGGTTGCGCACCTGATATGACTGCAACTTTATCGTATGTTCCACATGAAACATCTGCACGTAACACAACCTTCACCTGTATTCAAGGGGAAAAACAAAAGAAAAAGGTGCAACACGATCAGCAACTCTCGTACAAAAATATAAAGTCATTCATGTGTCTGTATGTGTAATCACCTGAGGAAAGCCATCTAAATACTGTAGCCCAGGATACGTCTCCACAAGACCTTCAATGAACTCAATCACGACATCTGCAATCAAATTAAAAAAAAAAGAAAAGAAAAAGAAAGAAACTGATATTATATAACTTCCACAGGAGCAAGATAATTGTTCTTCAATTATAATAATAATAATTATTATTATTATTATTATTTTCTCCAACTAGTAATTACATTAGAAATGATTTGAAAAAAGAACACAATCTTCACTCCAGTGCTAGCAAGAAAGTACCACAAAATTCCTAAATATGAATCTTAACATTGACTCGTAATCTTCCAAATAAAAGAGTTAAATTAAGCTATAATCAATTCTACAATGCTTCGCATCGATTAATCCGAATATAAGCCGCGATTTCCGTCATTTTAAGTTCTAGACGATTCAGTCAAAGTCGAATGCTAAAACATTTCAGGTTCAAACATGTTTAAAAAAAAATTAGAAAAAAGTCAACAGAATGCACAGAACCCGAACAGTTAAGACGCGAACGCGAACACGAAGACGGTCTTGAAGGCGAAAATAGTCAGAGCGCACCAATTTTAGATAGTAACAGTAAAAGAAGACCAAGATTGCATGTGAATTTCAATCGACAGTGAGAAATTGAACGAAGCAAAGAGAAAGAGAGACAGAGAAACATAAGGATTTAGGAGAACGAAAGGAGAGACTCACCATTGGGGTCGTTGATGAGTTTCTTGGTTGGAAATGCCATGGCGAAGAGGTATCGGAGCACTGTGGTTGTGGAATCGAAAGAGTGAACGGAGAAAACCGAAAACCCTAGAAATGGTTTTGCATGAAACAGTTGTAAGAAGAGAGAGAGAGTGAAGAAGAATTGTTGCTGTTGCCTTGTTGGTTTGGTGGAGGTGTGGGTGTGGCTCTTTATATACGCAAGAGAAGGAAAGGGAGGGAGTTGTAGTTGGCTTGTTCCAGCAAGGAAAAGAAAAGAAAAGAATAAAAAATAAACTCTTGCCTAATCCAAATTCCAATTTCCAAACATTTTTTCTTTTCTTTGCGGGAAACATGTTTAATTTTTTTTTGGTCAGAAATTGGTTTAGCTAAATTAAAATCACTAAGAAGTTGAGAAAAAAAATTAAAATATGTGTTATGAATTTAGTTTGTTATTTGAGGCATTTAAAAACGTTTAAGTCTCAATCAAACATATTTCAGAACAAGTATCTTGCATACGAAAAATGTTACGAAAAAAGACTTATTTGTACTTACTCTCACGATTAACTTATTTTATATTTAAAATAGGGACAGGTTATATTTACAAACTTTTTTTGTTTACAAACTACATTATATTTTTTCGGGAGAATATAAACTTTTACAAGCTACACTATGTTCTCCCGGGAGAAGATAGTGTAATTTATAAAAAAATTCAGAAAAGTTTGTAAACGGATCATGTCCCTTTAAAATATTTTACAATGTCTACCAAAGATATATATATTACAATTAAAATTTTATTAAAACAATTTTTTTAAAATATATATTATAGAAGCATAATTTTTGTGTCATTCAGTTATTTATAAAATGTGTAAATTAAAACACAATTGATGTCATTTTATCATATTACCAATTACCATGCCTCTCATCTTATCTTAATTGACATTTTTTAATATACTTAATTGATAAGCTAATAATTGTTAATTAAATTTTTTAATATTACTTATTATAAAGAATTCAAAGACTCAATTTTTTTTCAAAACATATTTCTCGTATATTATTATTATGGGTTTAGTGTGTGTCTTTTTAAATGACATTTCAGCAATTATAAATATATATTACATATAGTACATAATTATAATATAAAAATTATATTTTTTTCACTTTCCATGACAGTTGACAACTAAAGAGAGAAAAAATAAATATAATTTTAGTATTATAACTATAAAATATACTTAATATATAGGTATAATTGCTAAAAAAATCACAACATGTGTATTTTAAAAGGAATTTGTTTTCCTCCTATTATTATTATTATTATTTTCATTAAATCTAAAATTTCCCTCTTATAATTTATACGAGATAGGATATTATTACTACTAATATCAATACCAATTTATTTTATCGTTAGATTAATTATAATGATCCAACGATTATGATTTAACTTTCTTAAAAAAAATTATTCTTATATTTAATATTTAATATTTATTTTCATTTTTATATAATTATCATTATCATATTTAATGTAAAAATATTAAATATAACACTAATTATAGTAACCACATCTCATCTCTAATTTATTTATACATACACCTATTATGCATAGTTTTCTCCCCTAGATTGTGATTACAGTAAAAATTGGTTCACCTCGTAGAATCCGCCCCCGTTGTTCCACTCTTCAATGCTCAGCGGCAATGGACCCCGAGACCCTCAAACGACGCCGTCGAAGCAGTACCAGCCTCAACAATGTCCTTATCAGAGAGAAGAGGTTGAAACGCAGTGAGGTAAGGTGAAAACCCCCGTAGTTTCAGCTCTTACCCATTTCGTGTTTACTATAAGGGTTAGTTATTTACTTGGTTCCATTTTTGCAGGTACTATCAAGGAAGAAAGCCGTTGAAGAACTCATCAAATCAGCACGTGCCGAGAAGGACCACCTCGCTTCTTTCCCCGCCTTCAGCCACTTCAACAGAAATGGTAAACAGTCTTGAATTTATTGAGCTCAGTTAGATCGGTTACGTTTGTTTGCTGATTCACCAGTTAGTTACAAGTTCGAATGATGAGCGGCTTAACTTCCTAACTGAATTGGTTACTAACTGCTTGCTCAACAAACTATCTTAACCAATCTTCTAACAAATCTAAGTGTGCTTGGATTCTTATACGCATTTTACTCTCAACTTCTTAAGTTAATATAGAAATGTGATAATATTGATGTTTGTGTTTTGAATATTTTTAGGTCTCTCTGTGTATTTGAAGTCAGGACATGGCAATAAACTTTCCTCTTCAGTTAAGCATTATATTCGGAGTCTCCTTAAGGTAGAAAGAATACTTGAATTGGTTGACTGAGATATACATGTTAACATATGTTTATACTATAATAAGGAGGAAGATCTGTTGTTTCTTTTTTCATTTGGTTCATGGTTGATTTTTGTTAGCTTTTTCATTGAACTGCGAGACGAGATATATAGGGAAAGGAAAAATGTTTTGACTTGTGTATCCCAAAACTCTGCAGCTAAACATGGAAGGACCGTATGGATCAGAGTGGCGAGAGGAAGAAAAGGTGAAGCGCAGAGAAATGGTTGCTCCGGAAGCACGTTATATATTCGTGCATGAGGTTGTTGTTTCCAATTCAAATGCTGATGATATGCCAAAGATGTTGACGACGGAAGAAGAGACTTCGACTAGTTGCGTAGATGATAGTTTCCCCTTGGTTGGATTTGTACATTACCGCTTTATTTTGGAGGAGGAGATACCGGTGCTTTATGTGTATGAGTTACAGGTTGAGCCTCGTGTCCAAGGGAAAGGACTCGGGAAGTTTCTAATGCAACTAATTGAGCTTATGGCCCAAAAGGTGCTCAATTGTTTTACACATCTTACTTGACGTTGATGATGAACTGTTGAACATTATAATCTTTGAATAAAATAGGCTTGTTTATTGTTTTAATTTATAGTTTTAATTTATAGTTTTAGTAAATTGCAGTTTGAAAGTTCTTATGCCCCTAATTAGGACATCTGGACATTTTTCTTGTCAAGCTTATGAGTTCTATGAGCATCGAATATGGTCTCTGATCTTTCTTTCTTTCTTTTTTGTTTAAATATCTCTCTCGTAGAACTGCATGGGTGCTGTCATGCTAACTGTTCAAAAGGCAAACTTATTAGCTATGAATTTCTATATAAGTAAGCTGAGGTAACATTTCACTTATGTTTCCATCGTTGAGTTATTTTCCTTTTTGAAAACATACATGTTAAGGTAACTGATAATGCATGAACATATATTGAGAAAAGTGAACTGAAAGCCTGAACCGCATATATATTGTCGAGGAGAGGGTGAGTCATTAATTCCAAGCATTGAATTGAAAAATCAACATATAACTATGTTCTATATATAGTAGACTGCTTTATAAGATTATGTTTGCTGGACATGTCAATTGTTTGTGTGATTCTAATTTCTAAATTAGTGATGAATGATGATAATCTTATTTGTTATCAACGGTGATGGTGATTAAATAAAAAGTAAGAACAATATGATCATTGGATCATGCAACGGCTACTGTTTTCTAGTTTCTTGAACTTTCCTATGAATGACATTATTTGGTTTTATCCCATTTTATCAAGCTAAATAACATCCCAATTCCCAACTGCTTTCTAGATTTTGCTCTTATATACTACCTACATTTTCCTCCCTTTTTATGTTTGTTTTTTGTTTTGTTGAATGATGAAATATTTCTGATACAGATATATCATATCAACTACGTCACCTTCGAAAGTTAATCCAATGGTATAAAGTTTCTGCTTTCTTTTTTCTTTTTCTGTTATCATTTGGAAAAAAAAATAATGCTATTATTCCATTTTTTTTGTTCTTAAATGCAGATGGGGATTGAGAAGAGTTATGAAATTCTTTGCAAAACATTTAATGATGAAGCTAAAACTATTTTGGAGGTAAAGCACTAACTGAATGCACTGTTAGATTGATTTTCTGAAATACTCTGTTACTGAACTTCATTAAACACCTTCCCTTATGAGCATGTTGTCTAGATCAGTCAGGTTTTAAGGTTTTTATCATCATACGTTTTTTTTGAACATTTTCCTTCATATTTTACATTGTAAACATTCATCACAGAAGAACTCTGCTTTTTTTTAGCATATATTTCATCAATGTCTTGCAATACCTGTGCCAACATGAAGATGGTTGCTAAGCCTAAATGAGAGCAGTTTCTTTTTCTTCTTTTTTTGGGAGGGTGGTATAGGGGGAGCTGCCTATGTCAGTAGAACTTCTCTGATTGTTGCATTACAACTGTTTGTAGGTGACGGAAAACAAAAGCTTCTGATTGCATATGATCTGTGAACCTTGTGCTCTATTCTAGGACCTGCTCGCTCCTATGTCAAATCTAGTTAAAATTTCCAGTACGAAGTTCTTCATCTTCTGGGAACACAGAACATGGGAGCAATAATCTCTTGGCTTCTTCATTCTTTGTATTATCATAGTAATACCTCAAAACATTTATAAATTTTAATCATATTTTGATTAACATGGTGCATGGGCATAGACTTTTGCAATGATATCAAGGCTGCATTCCACTCTTCCTGACATTATTGTCCCTTTAAACTGCAAGCAATAGCTGTAATTACAATTGGTAATCATTTGCATTCTTTGGCAATTTTATGTCCCTTATCTAGCAAACTCTTAGATGCACTATGGCCTATGTCAGTATGCTTTACAAACAGGGTCCGGTGTCCTCCTTAGATTAGTGCACCAGTTGAATTATCCTCTTACATTCCATTAAGTGGCTTACGGATAGATTTACCTGGGTAACACGTGAAATTTCTCACTAGTTTGACCATTAAATTTAAAGTTCTTGTCAGATATTTAATATCTCTCTCTCTCTCTCTCTCTCTCTCTCTCTCTGTGTGTGTGTGTGTGTGTGTGTGTGTGAAACATAAGCAGATGATGGGCAGAATCAAAATTCAAAGCCACTTGCAATCTGACATATGTACCCTGAAAGCATGCTGGTATGGGCTACAGTGCATCTAAAAATTTGCTGGATTAGTGACATAAAATTACCAAGAATGCAAAGGATTACCAGTTGCAATTACAGTTATTGCTTGCATTTTAAAGGGCCAACAATATCACGAAAGAGTGGTATGAAGCCTTGATATCCTTGCAAAAGTCTGCCCATGCATGGTGTTGATTCAAGTATGATTGAAATTTGTAAATTTTTGAGGTATAGCTACGATAATATGAAGTAGCTATGAGATTTTTGCTCCTGTGTTATGTGTTCCAGAAGATGAAGAACTTCGTACTGAAATTAGCTAGATTTTCTATCCTTCACTTCATTCTGCTGTTGACATTTATACGGTGACTCAGTGATCCTACAATTGGCTCCAGAGGGAGTTGAAGAGATAATGTATATTGATAATTTACCTTACAAAAAAATTTCACCTCCATATTTCTAATTCATAATTTTTCCCCATGCATCCATATTTTTGTTTGCAGGATAGTGGATGAGTTGGGGAAAGACTGCTCAACCTGTTGGTCTCATATTTATAGGCTTCTTTATTGTACTAATTGAGTTCCCCTGTTCCTCGCACATTTTTCCTCATATATTGTGTTCTTTTTGTTTGTTTGTTTCCTCTGTTAATGTAAAAGGGTTTTCTTTCTCATGTTGTGAATGCCAGTTGCTAAAGATGAAGTGGGTCTTACTCTTCGGTATCCAAATGTTAATTATGAACGTAAGGAACTAAGGATGATGAAATACAGATATTTATCATTCAATTTCAAAGTATGTCTGAAATCAAACGCCACGTTCCGTTGGGTAACTCAGCCAAACAAAGAGATTTCTGGTATCAAAAGCCAAATGGTGTTCATGATTGTGTGCCATGTTATATGAAAAGTAGTACATTGGTATTATGTTATTTTATTTTCGGCCCTTTTTAAGTATTTTCATTTTTATATGTCAGATTACATAGAGGGAGAGTGTAGCATAACAGAATTAATTGATCACGATTACCAAAATAACACTTGTCTTCTCCTTTGTGCTTATTACATTACGGTACAATTTTCAGCGCTTAATCCCTGATTTCTTTGGTTCTGTAGTTTTCCTCTTGTATGTAATCCGTTGCTTTTGTTTACAATCTAGGAGCCATTTAGTGTGCCCGACCTTTCCATACCTGCATGATGCCCGCTTTTGAAATGGGACAATATAATAGGGAAATTATTTCTGCTTTAAAGCAAAAAAAATTGTCTCTGCCGTGCGCAGACACAAATTGACAGAGAGAAAGTATAGAGGAATGAGAGAGAAAAAAAATAGAAATGAGATTCACTCTTTTTATCTCCATGTGGTTGACAATTTTTTCTGCTTTCGAAGCATAAATGATTTCCCGCAATATAATACTCGCATGCTTATATATCTCGTATATGTACAATGCCTTATAATCGTCATGTGTGAAACATCAAGCATGAGGATTAGGGATATTGAAATTAGTTTCCCACATTTGTGTTAAAATACTATCGTGCCAAATGTCTTTGACTCAAACTTTCAAACAATAAACTAGCAAAAAAAAGGTAAGAAAAACATTTATTTAAAAAAAATTATACATAAATCAAAAGGTCACATTCTAATAAAAGCACTTTTTATGTAATATAATTTTTTTTCCCAAAAAAAATAAATAACCATATACAGGCCTCCTGGCAAACTTATAACTTGACAAGATGAAGGCTTTGAAATGACAAAGATGAAGTTAAAAAATCATAACGAAAAGGGCAACGAAATTAATCAATTGGTTTGACGTCTCTAAGAGAGCGCCGTTAAAAGAACAACTCACAATGGATTTACTTATTTGTTCTTTAATTATAAAGGAGTTTGGTTATGGATAACCAATTATTTTTATGGTTTGGTAAATAACCAGTTTATAAAAATAAAATACAGTTTCATATGAAAACGATTTTTAAAATGTGAAGCAGCTTGGTTATGGATTAGTTTAGTTCTTTTGGAAATTTTGAACATCCTACCCATACCTTCCTCCATTAGTTCAAATGAAACTCTCAGTAACATAATATTATTGTAGACAGGGTGTGATATTATATCACTAAGAGGTTTGAACCCATGTATAGAACCAGAAGAGATTAAAGATCAGAAATATCATTGTGCAATAATGAAAAAATTAGAACAGACTTACTTGTAGTTTGCTGTCAATAGTATGGAACAGACAGATGAAGAATGAATGCAGAATTAGGAATTAAATCCGAGCCCACATAACGTGTCTCCTTAAGAAATTTGCCCCCTCACAGATGCCAAAGGTTGATGGACACTTGTCTCCCAAGATAGAACGGATTTCGTTTGAAGATTGGCGGCACTGTCAGTCAACAGCCGAAGCGAACACAACAATATGCCAGAGGGATCACACTAGATGATGAACAGAAATATGCAAACCGGAAGGGAGAAAAATTTCGACAGAGTTTCAGTGCAGAAAACTGGATAGAATTTCTGGGGGGTCAGTGTCTATTTATAGATACTGACCGGTCACGATGAACCGCCACCGGCGGCGAACCGCCGTGACTGACAACGGTGAATGGGTGCGACCGGTGACCGTTTCGGCGAACGGGTACATTGGTGTTCATGATTGTGTGCCATGTTATATGAAAAGTAGTACATTGGTATTATGTTATTTTATTTTCGGCCCTTTTTAAGTATTTTCATTTTTATATGTCAGATTACATAGAGGGAGAGTGTAGCATAACAGAATTAATTGATCACGATTACCAAAATAACACTTGTCTTCTCCTTTGTGCTTATTACATTTTCGGTACAATTTTTTCTGCTTTTGAAGCAGAAATGATTTCCCGCAATATAATACTCACATGCTTATATATCTCGTATATGTACAATGATGCATTATAATCGTCATGTGTGAAACATCAAGCATAAGGATTAGGGATATTGAAATTAGTTTCTCACATTTGTGTTAAAATACTATCGTGCCAAATGTCTTTGTGTATCACCAGGCTACCATTTGAGGATAATGGCAGGTGAACAAAGGAAGTTTGTGTCTTTTGTCTCTGGCAGCTCGTGAGGAACTATTATTGGCTTGGAAGTTGGGCATCTCCATTGTTTTCTTGAATAGTATTAAAATTTAATCATCAGGTCTTATACTATCAGGTCTTATACTATCAGGCCTTATCCTATATTATGCACCAAACATGCCCTAATAATATCTATGAATGCATTACGAAAAGTTTCATGTTACTGTTACAATGGCTCCGTAAGTTCGTTTGTGATTTTGTCCTAAGAGCAAATTTGGCGATCTTAGCACAATATGCTTTGACTTTTGGTTCAACAATCTAATTCAAGACTCTTCCTAAGTTTATTTTGTCTCAATTTTGAGCAGTTTATAAATAAATTCAATTTTCATATTTAAAATGAAAGGTTTTTGCTTAGGGAATAAATGAATAATAAGTACCCGTTTGCACAGTTTTTTTTTTTTTTCTTAGCTTCATTTCTTTTTATAGGGAAATGCTTGACCAAATATATAAAAAAAAATTTATAACAAATAAAAAAGAAAAAACTAAAAGTCCCCAAGGCTAATTATTTTAAAATAGAAACTACCTTTTTAGATTTTTTATATTTATTTTTCAGTTTTAGTCTCATTCTAAACTTGTATTTACAAATTTTATTCTTTAAACTAATAATTTATTCTAATAATAAATAATCTCATTTCTCCCATTTTAAAATTCTGATAATAACTTTATATAATTATTAAATAACATTTACATTTTTTTTAAAGTTTTTTTTCAACTTTAACCTAAAAATAACTTTTAGCTTTACAAAAAATACTTCAAACAGAGAAAAAGCAAAGTTTTTTATTTTTAAATGTATTGAATGCTTTACTTTTAATTTAAGATTTTATAATTCTGTTTGCTCAAGAGCCTTGTAGCGAAAATAAAAAGTATACATTTAACAAAATTAAAAATTAAAAATTTAAAAAGTACACAAAAAAATAAGAAATAAGATTTATTTATGTGAAAAGTATTTCTCTTGTTACACGAGATAAAGTTAACTTCTGAAACTTTACAATAACATTATTTTAGAGTTTAGAATTAAAAAAAAATAGTATTTTGAGAATTTTACGTTCCTCTTTGTACTATAAATTTTACTAAGATTCTTTTTATTTTTAATCTTTAACACAAAATGATATTATTTTGATAGCAGGAGATAAGATAACTTCATGTTTTCTTACGATAAAAACATTAATCTCATTATTTATTTAGGTTTTAAGAAAGGACTTACCACTGATGTGGGTCTTAAGATAAGCTCAAGAGGAAATAAATTTTTTTTTTTTTTGAGTTACCCAACCCTAATTACCTCTTTGAGGCAAGTTGGCTCCCTCCGATATCCCCACAAGCTTCGACTCTTTGAGCCGGCTATGAGACTAATCCGAAGTGCGGGGGTCAGTGATGGCTAAAGGTTCAGCCCCCTCCCCAAGAATGCATTCAGCGGGAATCGAACACATGTCCAACCCCACTAACTCAGCGCCAAGGAACTAACTGAGCTACACCCATTGGGTAGGAAATAAATTTTTAGTATATCTGTTTATTTATTTTGTGATATGTGGATAATAAAATATGACATCATTTAAAAAAGCAAATGATGTGATATTTTTTATCCACAATCACAAAATAATTAAATAAATACACTGAATTTTCTATGCATCTGATGTATTAAAAATTTATTCCTCAAGAGGATTCGAAAAAAAAGAAGAGAAAACGTATTGCAAGATTTGAATCTAGGTACTTACTACTTACCTTAAATGTCTTACGTATTTAATAACTTATGTATTTAGATTAACTTATTTTAGAGCCAGAAAAGTTGTAATTGGCTGCTTCATAAGAATTTATATATATTTGTATATAAAAAAAGAATATATATATATATATATATATATATATATATATATATATATATATATATATTAATGTTTCTATAGCATATAAATTTTATCTTTTATACATATAAAAGTGTGTGAGAATGATATTTTATTTTATTTTATTTTTCTCTCTTCTCTTTAGGGGTGTTCATCAACCGATCCAAACCGATGCAAACCGCAAGAACCGAACCGAAAAATCAATAATCGAAAATCGAAAAATCGAAAACTAAAAAAAAACCCTCAAATATTGATTGGATTGGATCGGTTTTCGGTTTACATGTTAAAAACCAGATCCAAACTAATTTTCTACCAAATTGGGGCTATCCCAAATAATAGGTTTTTTGACCACTATAGCCTTTTTTTAATAATTAATTACCAAATTGACCCTATTTATAAACTATTTGAAAAACTTAACCTCTTCAGAAAACATAACACCAATCTGCCCCAATTTGACCGTTGACCATGAAGCCTACCCGGGTACACCTCTATCTACCCAGGTATATTTTGAAATTTTTTACCTACCCGAGTATATTTCTTAAATCTGAAAAATGTTTGAATTATATACCCGGGTAAATAGGGGTGTACCCGGGTAAATAATCATAACATGTTGAGTGGTGAAGGACAATAGAGATACTTTGTTGCATTCACTTTCCGTCTCAAAAGGTAAGTAAAAAAACATTCGCTCTGCGCCCACTTCAAGAACTGTTTCCCTCATCGATTTTTCTTCTGGTAATCTTTTGAACTCAACCTGTAATCGTTAATTTAATCTAACAATTGACTCGTTTACATTTACATGCTCAATTCTACTGATATACATATAATTGTTTGAATAGCTTCTTGGACAATCTCGAAACACAGCGAGTCCAACAAGTCCTGCTTCAAAGTGAGAAACCAACATGTATAGTTCTGCACCACATAGATAGAATACAAAGTAATATCTGTATTCTCGAAATTTAAATGCTATATAATGAAACCATTATATGAATACAAATACTTACAAACACTTTCAGCCACTGAAATCATTAAGCAGCATATAGTGCACAGGTTGATTTTTACTCCAACATTACACAGACTTGAACGTGTGGTTAGAAATTTTTGACTTACATATAAAGGAAAGGATGAAATTCTTAATCTAAAGCAGAGATGACGTTTGGGAAGTGTTTGTGATATTGTTTCTGCTTTTTCTTTCATTTCATTTGAGTTCTATCAATCACTCATCAAAGACAAATCATTATTTACCCGATTACATCCCTTCCTACTCGGGTAAATAATTCAAACATTTTTCACATTCAAGAAATATATCCGGGTAAGGAGGAATGTACTCGAGTAAAAAATTTCAAAATATACCCGGATAAGTAGAGGTGTACCCGAGTAGGCTTCATGGTCAATGATCAAACAAAGCCAGATTAATATTATGTTTTATGAATAGATTAAATTTTTAAAATAATTTATAAATAAAGTTAATTTAATAATTAATTATAAAAAAAAGGCTACAGAAAAAATCCAAATAATAGCCAAAAATTATAAACCCACCCATAAGCTTTGAAATGAAACGCAAAAATTCTAAACCTAATCCAAATTCCAAACTTACGCTCTGGCATCTTGGCGTCTTGGTCTCTCACTCTTCAGTCTTCTCACAGTCGCTAACGGCTCACCCCTCACCTCACTCACAGTCGTGACCTTGGCAACTTGGCATCTCTCTCACTCTTCTCATTCTCGTCAGTCGTCACCTTCCCAATGGGATTCGCTGCAACCACCGTGTTGGCTTGTATGTTGAAAAAATGTATGGCAGCAAATAAATTCTGTTAGTGTTCAATTAGTTCTGTAAGTTACTTGTTTGGCAGCAAAAAGTTTCCGATGATTGGGGAATGATAAGATGGATAATGAGTTGATAGCCAAAAGATAAATTGTTTCTTTTATGTGATGCTGAAGCTGAAGCGTGAGTATGGCAATGTCTTCACGTTGGCTTGTATGTTGTGTATTGTTTTTTGTTTATATGTATTCCTTTCAAGGTTTTCTCTAAAGTATTGCACTTGAGTTCCTGTTTAATTTGCCTATAGCTTTCTGCACCCATGGAGATGCTCAATCTTTTAAAATTTAAATAGTTATGTTAAATAGTAGTATGGACCTCTTAAATAGAAGAGAAAACAACATATATATAGTTATGTTTTAAGCCTGGTTAATGGATCTGAACAACGAATTAAATTGCAAAAATAAATAATAATAGATATAAGACTGAAATTGTACTGCATATTTTTATTAAAAGACCCAAAAACAATTTAGTCAATTTACATTAGGACTTATGGTACAGAAATTTATAAGATCAAAGAGCCCAAATCAGAAAACCATAGAACAAACAAATGTAACATCAATGGGATTTTGCAGTATTTTCTTCTCTGATGGAGGTGGATTCAAGCACCACTAGAGGAGAAAGTAGAGGTATTGGATCTTTACTGGTGAAGAAGGAATTTAATGAAGATGAAGTTGAACCAGCCCCCATTGAGTTCTGTGCTCCACTACAAGCATATGATATCATAGTAGGCTTTATCTTTAGTGGACAAGGAGCTTGCTTTTGTAGCCGACTCATAGAACTTCTAAATACAAACTCATCCCTGTGATTGTAAATCTGGAAACCAGGAAACTCAACTCCAGAATCCTTCATTGTTGCTTCTCAGCTCTTCCTTCTTTTGGATCTCTTAATGTACTTAGCTATAACTTTCAGACAGAGACCAATAATACAGTATGTTAATTGAAAATAGAGCAAAAATTGAATATTTCCAATGAATTAAGTTGCATTGAATGATTATAATACCCTTCACTAAGTTCTAAGGGCCTTCAGTATGTCTTGTGTAATTGGCCTTCAAAAAACCGAAAACCGATCCAATCCAAACCGAAAAAAATTGGATCGGATTTGAAAAAAAATCCAAACCGATCGGATGATTAAATGATCAAACCGAAGGGATTGGATCAGATGGTTTTTTGCTTCAAAACCGATCCAATCCAATCCAGACTGCGAACACCCTTACTTCTCTTCACATAGTTCTATTCTATATAAGCCCCACACACTTTTATATATGTGCATAAGATAAAATTATTTCTTATAATATTAAAAACATTAGTCCCATACTCCCTTATATTATCTCTTACAATAATTTAAATATTTCGCTTGTAAACGATGTTGTTTTTTGCGGTGGTCTCACTATCTCAGTTTACCCTCCCAGGTTTGAAAGAGACACAGGATAAAAAACAGAGCATCCAAGCATGAAAGACGGAGACATATGTTGCGGTTCGGAGGAGCATATCATAGAAACATGAAGAAGATTTTGTGTCACAGTACAAACACAAGCACAAGGTATCGGTATTATGGCATCCCCAGATTTTGTAGCTTCTTTACTCTTCTTCTTTATTTGCCTCCTTATTCTCAGTTTCTCAATTTCCAAAACTGTAATTATAATCACTCTCATTCCGTTCGTCAACTTTCTGGGTTTTGCAACGTTGAACATGATGATGCTTCCGTGGCTTCATTCAACCGCATGCTCCACATGCGTCCTCCCCCATGTGTAGTTGAGTTCAACAAGGTTTTAGGTGGGTTTGTGAAGATGAAGCAATACAAAACTGTTATCTCACTTTGCACTGAAATGGAGTTGAAGGGAATCACCCCTTGTGTTTTCACTCTCACCATCTTGATTAACTGCTATTGTCATGTGGGTCGTGTTGCTTTTGCTTTCTCTGTGTTGGGGAAGATTCTCAAGTGGGGTTATCAATTGGATATTGTAATTTTGAATACACTCATTAAAGGGTTGTGTATCAGTGGTGAGGTTATGAAAGCATTGGACTTTCATGATGAACTTGTTGCTAAAGGGTCTCGGTTGAATGAGGTTACTTATGGGACCTTGATCAATGGATTGTGTGAAATGGGGCAAACAAGAGTTGCGGTTCAAATGCTGAGAGTGATAGAGGGTCAGGTTGTTAAGCCTAATGTAGTAATGTATAGCATGGTTATTGATGGTTTATGCAGAGATGGACTTGTGGATGAGGCGTGTGATTTGTATTCTGAAATGATTGTTAACAAGGTTTCTCCTAATGTTGTCACTTATGGGTCTCTAATTCGAGGATTGTGTGTTGTGGGTAAGCTGGAAGAAGCTGTTTGGTTGCTAGATGAAATGGTCCAGAAGGATGTCTGCCCAAATGTTTATGTCTTCACTATTTTGATTGATGCGTTGTTGAAAAAAGGGATGCTCCTAGAAGCTCGAGATATGTTTGATAAAATGATTCAGAGAGGTCATGAACCTAACATTGTTACTTACACCGCTTTGATGGGTGGATATTGTTTGAATAATGAAGTGGACGAGGCAAGAAAGCTATTTGATGCAGTTCTTCAGTGGGGTTTTGCACCTGATGTTTGGACTTATAATGTCTTGATTAATGGATATTGCAAGCTTAATAGATTAGATGACGCCATGAACCTCTTTGATGAAATGTGTCAGAAGAAATTGGTTCCAAATGTTGTTACTTACAATTCTCTAATTGATTGCTTTTGCAAATATGGGAGACTATCATATGCTTGGAAACTTGTTAATGCAATGCATGATAATGGTCTGACCCCTGATATTATCACTTATAGTATCTTGTTAGATTCTTTATGCAAAACGGAACGTCTTGACAAGGCAATTGCGTTATTTAACCAACTGATCGAAAGGGGTTTGGCATCTGATGTTTGGAGTTATACTATCTTGATTAATGGGTGTTGCAAGAATCAAAGGATGGGTGAGGCCATGAATCTCTTGAAAGAAATGCATCTAAAGAATTTGGTTCCTCATACTGTAACTTACACTTCTCTTATTGAAGGCATGTGCAAATCTGGGAGGATCTTGTGTGCACGGAAGCTTCTTACCGAGATGCATGATAACGGTCCACCTCCTGATTATATCACTTACAGTATCTTGTTAGATGCTTTATGCAAAAGCCGACATCTTGACCAGGCAATTTCATTATTTAACCAAATGATTGAAAGGGGTTTGGCTCCTGATGTTTGGACTTATACCATCTTGATTAATGGATGTTGCAAGAGTAAAAGAATAGACGAAGCCATGAACCTCTTCAAAGAAATGCTTCTAAAAAATTTGGTTCCTGATATTGTAACTTACATTTCTCTTGTTGATGGCTTGTGCAAATCTGGGAGAATCTCATATGCATGGCAGCTTGTTAATGTGATGCATGACCTTGGTCTACCCCCTAATGTCATCACTTACCTAGATGCACTTTTCAAAAGTCAGCATCTTGACAGCAAGGGCCTTGTTTCAGCACATTGTTGACAGTGGAATTTGTTATTATGTGCGCAGTTAACTATGCTTACTGATGGTTGGTATGAAGTTGGAATACTAAATACTGCAAGGGATTTTCCAAGCATCTTTTGATTCAAGGATGTTGTCCAGATGCCCAAAAATATACCACTATGATCAAAATTCTTGCTCTGCTGAAGAACAATGATAAGCAGAGAAACTTCTTCATGAAGTGGTCATTTGAGGTCTTGTGAGATGATGAAACCAGGTCAGTTTTACTCACTAATGTTGAACTTGTTTGAATGTTTAGCAAATGCTTCTTCCCTGTGGGTCAGAGAAAATGGACCCCAATGGCCTGGCTATTGTTGAAGCGTGTTTTCTATTTTTTGTTGTTGCCTGTGCTTAACTTTTTAACTTGACATGACTTTGATGATGCTTCATTTCCTCTGTATTACTGACTTACCCATAGATAAGTGTTTCTGCCATCAGAGTGGATGTAAATAACCTATTTAATAATGCAAGAAGCCCAGTAGAATTTGACATCGTTGTACTGCATGCTGTTATTGATAATCCAATCTTCTCTTTCTTTTCCATTATTTTCCAAATATTTAATGTTTGCTCTACTTACTACCAGGACATATGTTAAATTCAGATATCTTCATTGCATAGCAGGGTGAATTGTTCTCCCTAATAAATATCCCATGTAACCTCATAAAACCTGCCCTCCTTCTACCCTCATGAATTCAACCCGTCACTGCTGGCTGGCTATGGTCTCCAAATTCCTCACATGAGCAGTTCCAGCCACAATGCCCATATCTGAGGGATGAAGTTGAAATGCAGTGAGGCGAGGCAAAAGACCCATCATTTCATTTATGACCTGTCTGAGGATTTTGTACAAAATCATGGCCCGTTTTACAGGTACTTGCCAAGAAGAAATCCATTGAAGAACTCATCAAAGCAGCATCTGCTGACAAGGACCATCTCACCTCTTTCCCTGCCTTTGCAATTTACTCAGGAATCGTAAGCATTTAGGAGTAAGAGATGTTAATAATCCCATAACTTTTGAGATATCAATAGATGTATATATTTCATAACATGTCAATATAGGAATGTAATATTCATGTTTGTGTTTCAGGTTTGGATCTTTTTGCTGTTTCCAGGTAGCTATTTTTAATCTGATTTCTAGGTCTCTCTGTGTGTATGAAGTCAGGATGTGACAATAAACTTTCCTCTCCTGTTAAGCGCGCTATCCTGATTCTACTTAAGGTAGGATAGTAGAATTAGTTGACTGAGATTTTATTTTATTTTATTCATTTGTTTGTACTATAATAAGGAGGAAAGTCTGTCGTCTTTTTCCTTTTGTTTATGGTTGGTTTTTATAGCTTATTCATTGAAGGAGAAAGGATATAGAGGGGCAGAGAGAGGAAAGAGAAAATAATTGATTTTCTTTCCCAAAATTGTCGCTAAACATTGAAGGACCATATGGATTTGAGTGTTCAGTGGTGGAAGAATAGATCAAGCACAGAGAAATAGTTCCTCCAGAAGCACATTATATATTTGTAGTTTTGTACATGGGAGGAATTAACACATTGAGGTAGAATGTCAATTCATCAGGGAAAGGATCCTATCAAGGGATATCACGTCTAACTTTGTCAATTCCAATGATCAACTAGCAGATGTCTTCATCAAATCCTTGAGAGGTCCTTGAATAAGTTATTTCTATAGCAAGCTTGGTGCGTGTGATTTATATGCTACAGCTTGAGGGATAGCTTTACGAACCTAGAAATGGATTCTAAATCTTTAGAGAGTGTTGAGAAAACAAAGAAAACCAAAAGAGAATGAATACTTCTATAGAACTTTTTGTTTTACGTAGTTTGTTTCCCCGGTACTCTTTTTCCTCTTTGAGGTTTTCCCTACATGGGTTTTGACTTAGAAAAGGTTTAATGTGGTCAGGCGGTTGGGTTTTCAGTGTATTGCTTGTTCTTTTGATATTCCTTATGGCTTTATACCATTTTTCACAGTATAGTAATTGTTTCTATTTTTTTCTTATTTTAATAAAAAAGAGTGAGGTGTTATGGGTGGCCAACCCAATTGCAATGTTTAGCACTTTACTCTGACCTGATTGTGTGTGTGTATTATTTGGCTCTTAAATGCAGATGGGGATAGAGAAGAATTATGAAATGCTTTACAGAACATTTAATGATGAAGCTAAAACTATTTGAGATAAAGCACCAACTGAGAGCTACACTCAGAAAGATTTTGAACTTCATAAAACATCTTCTTCCCTCATGAGCTGCTGTCTAAATCAGTCAGGTTTTGAGGTTTTCATCTTTAAATGACTTCTTCAGTGTTTTCCTGTGTATCAATCATCATCGAATTTCTTCTTCTTCCTCTTCGGTGCCCAATTGTTGTCGATGAACATAAGTATGGTGGAATACATCTTCTTCTAACTCTTCTTTGGCCAATTATTGTTGATGAATATAAGTATGAAGGAATACATGGAACATTCAAAGAATCTCTTAAATCAACACCCCCATCCCAAGAAAATGAAAATAAAGAGAGGTTCCATTGGTGAGTTAAAACTGTGCATATGGCATATGCTAACAGGAATTATAGTGTTTTAATTTTTAAAAGCCAATTGATGGTTTATAATCAAGGACCCTTTTAGTGTGCTAGACATTTACACACTAGTAGCTAAGGTGCACTCCTATATTGGATGCCTACTTTCGAAATGTGACCATAATCCAAATGGACCAGTGCAACCTTCAGTTTAGAAAATTTTAGACTTGCGCTTACACATCTCATATATTTGTAATGATTTTTAATCGTCACATATGGCAGAATTTCTTACATTTGAGTTAAAATAAAAGCATATCAAATGTCTTTTCTTTGCATAACCAGATTACATTGAGTAGAATGCTTCCTCCCCCTTCAGAAGAAAAACAATAAATCATAAATGGTTATATTGATTGACAAACTACTCACATCTCGCTAAGAATTCAGCCACCATATGCATGCCTTTCTAAAATCCTAACTTCATTCCAGAATGCTACCAAGAGAATTCAAATCTCTCTTGGAGGAAATGCCTGTTGTAACATTTTTTAATCATCTACAATTTCTTGCCACCTTGATGTCAGTTGTGAACATTGCTCGTATAGGCCTATGATCAGAAAGTTTTGACTCACTCCTGTTGTACTGGGTTTGCTTCATACCCTTCCCAAACCATATTATTCGATCACACCTGCAGTACCTTATGGTTAGACTATTGCCTTCTTGCTAATGGTTCATATGAAAGCATTTGAAGTAGGATTTTGATCATCTCCTTTTTCCTTAAAGAACATTAACAATGAGAGAAAAACTGGTTGACTCTTGAACAAGTAATGACAGGTCCCAACAAAAGGAAGTTTGTGTCTCTTCTCTCTCATATAGGACACTATCATGTTCTTGAGGGAAGTGAGAAAAATCCAAATCCTATGATGTATGCTTACCAAGCTGGGGCGCGCCTCTTTTTGTTCATGTGCTGCTGATCACAACCTAGATAATCTTTAGAATTCGGGCAGTATTTGTATGTAGGTGGAAAGTCTATAGCTCCTTCATACCAACCTTGGAAAACATGGCCCTCCGTGAGCTCCAACTTGAGCTATGTAATTTGGATCGAGTTTTAAATCTTAAACTCAGAACTATGGTAACTAATTAATCAAAGATATTGCCATGCAAGAAGTAACATGTTAAGCCTTACCTGGTCATGTTTCAACAAGGTTTCCCACTCTCTTCTCTTGATCAATGATTGTGTTGCAGAGTCTGGCATACAGATCCTGTAGTTCAAGTCACCTAGCCAGACTACTCGGCTGCATGGGACCAGGTAACCATTTTAGATGAAGTACTATTGAATGTATTCAACTTATTTTAAGTGATTATAGTATAAAAGTCTCAATCACAAAAAAGCTCATCTTTAGTTGAGGATTTGTTACTACAGATGACACTTTGATACCATTATTTTAAATCCAACAAAATGGAGGGATTCAGGGCTTGTTTGATTGTGTTTTGAGTTTTTTTGTTCTTAAAATTGTTTTGTAAAGTAATTTTTAAAAATTATTTTGTAGAATAAAAGTGAAAAAAAAAAATCCATTTGATAAATTTTGAAAACAGTTTTAAAAGTTAAAAAACAAAAAGAAATTGTTTGGTCAATTTGTTTTCAAAATGTGGTTTTAAAGTAGAAAAACTGAAAAAATTATCAATCACATGAAAGACCAAAAGGCAAAAGAACATATCGGCTACAGGAGCTTGAAATTAGGATCTATATGAGGTGGCACAATATTAACTTCTACTTTTTCATTTTCAGATTATTACCATCATGCCATTAATGAAGCTCTTGTTCTCTGTGTTTTTGTTGTTTTGGGAGTAAAAAACTGAAACACAAAACCAAAACATGATAAGAGTGTTTTGTAAATTTGGTTTTAAAAACTAAAAATTAGATGTTTTTAGAATTACTTTTACAAAACACTGATCAACGAACAAGTTTTTTCATGGGAAATAGTTTTCTTATGTTGTAGAAAAAAATTTCTCTCATGTAGTAGAAATAAAATTATAAGTGGAATCCACAGGTAAGAGGAGAGAAAAAAAATACAGGTGGGACCCACCTCTATTTTGTGTGTGTAGGAAATTGACTTCTCTTATGTAACATGGGATAAATATAACCCTTTTTTATTCTTGAAACAAGAAAACTGTTATATGAAATAGAAATCAAACAGAGCAGTTTGTCTAATAGTTTTTTTTTTTTTTCAAGTGATTGGACGCTAGTGGAATGGATTACAGACCCAAAATTAATTAGATGCTCTCCAATCAAAGTTTGGGGAATTGGAAATAGATACATTACCAATATATAATGATAACATATCTATTGTTATCAAACAAATGTCTTATAGTTGGTAGCTTATTCCTTCAACTTATATGATAGTTTCTCTATATACTTACTCATGGTCAATAATTTTTTGAGGCATATCAAGCACAGGACCAGAAGGGAAGCTTGTCCGGGACAAAATATTTGTTGCATTAACGTTTCTCTGTCTTCGGTCGACTTCTTTCCCACCAGAAGCTAGATGACTACATATAAAGCAGAAGCTTGTTTCATGCAAGCAAAATCTAATTGATATTGAACCCTGTATTTTAAAATCAACAGAAGATCTAAGGCATCGTTTAAAGTTTCAAAACTAGCATCTGAATTCTCAAACATTTATGTTTTTAGTAGATAAACTTTTATTATTTAGTTAAAAAAAATAAAAATATGCATTTCTATTACTCTCTAATATGTGACCACAAACCTTGTTTCCCAAGCAACCCATGATTCCACAGCCAACAGATGAGACACTCAGGTGCCGGATAGATTGATAGAGATCACATTGAACCCAAATAGTAATGAACATTCCCACCATTTGCCTACTTATTATGCATTGGAAATCTTGCCCATGTTCACTCGCTGCACAAATTTGTTCCTTCAAAGGATATATCTTCTGACGTTCTGCTATTTTATCTTCTTCAACCACCTTTATTGGTATTCTATTGTTAAGGGCTTGCTCAATAAGAGAATTCCATTTCATGGAATTTTTTCTGTTTTGTGGACCTAATACATTTGCTGCATTTAGAGGTACTATTTCTTGGAACCTGGTATAAAACAGATGTTTATTACATCAAATACTAGTCAATGAATGAAGTGAAAGGAATACAACAACTTAGTGTCTATGCAGTTAATTCTCACATGTAATCTAAGTAATAGAAGAGAATTACCCCAGAACATAAATATCTGCAGAATTATTTTGTGTGTCAAGCCAGTCTTCCATGTCTAAATTCTTGGGTGGTGCAACGCCTCCAATATTCCAGGAACCAACAAAGATCCTAGTGAAGAATAATATACAAATCAGTGTTTCTTTCAAGGTAGTAAATATATTAGACAAAGACAGAACAGGATTAAAGTAATATAGAACAACTGTTTGAGAATGTATACTACTTTTTGGTGTGATGATTGAAGCTTCTTGTTGTGTTAGTGGATGCTTGATTAAACCCTGATGAATTATGATTTTCTCCTTTGAAGTTGTCAATGCTTAATATCTTTCTTAGGATCTTATACTCGTTCAGCTTTAAGTCCTGCATGATCTTTGGACGAAACATATACTCATCAAACATATAGAAAGAACCAAAATAGAGGAAACTGAAAGATACATAGACTTGGGCTAACAGACACAGACTGAGAAAGAGATACCTGCTTCTTGCACTCTTACTTCTTGGCCAATGGCTTTCTATTACAGTGCTACCAAAGTATAGAAGTGGCATATCAAACCAGAAAAAATTCCAAAGAGAAAGAAACTGCATCAGATATCAAAAGAAGGGGTAGGGAGGGGGAAGGGATTTATAGGCATGCAGCTGAGTACCACTATTGATTTGGTTAATGATAGGTTAAGGACAAGTTCTGGCCTTCTAGGGAACAGCAACAAAAAAACATGGGGCCTTTCTTGTGTACATGTTGCCATGTGTTTGTTGATACTTGATTGCAAATATATTTTCATTATTACGAGATTAGGTACTACTTTACAAAAGGTAGGAAAAAATGGAATTCGAGTGACATTAATCATAAAAGAGCGGATGAAATAAATAAAATTGGATAAATTATTATTATTATTTTAAATTTTAGCTACTGGGGAATGAGTCTTCTAGTACTGCATATATTTGTCGCTCCTATCTAATTAATTAAGTAAAAGTAAATTAATAATATCTTCCTCAAATCTCATTAGGAAACTTTAAGAATTATATTTCTTTCTTATAGTATAAATTTTTCCAACAAAATGACTTGAATTTTTTTCTCCAAAAACTTAAACGATATTGTTTTGTGATTTGCTAGAGATAAATTTATTTCTAGGAGTGACATTAAAGGGTCCTTTTTTTTTATGTTATAGGAATTCCTGCAACCGTTTTTTAATTATGTATTTCTAAAAATACATAGTTATAATATTAAAGTTATTTTTTTTTAACTATATATTCTCATGAGTACATAATTAAAAAACTATTGTTAGTTTTTTTGTAACTATATATTTTTGGAAATACATAATTAAAAAAACTGTTGCATAAATTCTTGCAAGAAAACTATTTGCCAACATTAAAATCATTTATATTTGCTAGTTGTTGGTCATTTTCATTGCACTCCCTTCGACTCTGCCCATGTGCAAAGCATAAACATCCTATAGCTGAAAGTTAATTCATTTTAAGGGACAGCATAGGCATAGCTAAAGCTATGGTTATGCCGAATTTTCAACATACAACCAATAGTTTGTTATGATTTCAATTTTAGTTATTAATCTATTTAAACTTTCAAATGTGGTTAATTATTAAAAATGAAACATTAATAAAATTATCTGACACATTAAAAACTTGAGTGAGTTAATTATCAAATTTGAGATTACGTAAATTATTTGATACATTTTCAAATTTTAAGCAGGTCAAAGTGTCAAACTGTCGAGTAAAACAAGTGGGAACAATAAAAATTAAATTAAGTAGTTTATGTTTTAAAAAATATAAAAACTTCTGTTGAAAATAGATCATGGGTTTCCATTTTTTCAAGAGCAAATTTGATTGCTCCGATATAAAAATTGTGACTTTTGATGGGTATGGTTCATACTTCGCATGCTGACGAGGCCTTTAGTTGTCGGGGTCAGCAGAAAGGCAACTGGGGTACTGTTGTAGGCCTCTGATTTATTGTAATTTTCTTAGTAGTTTGGGCTTGAGCTCATAAATAGCTGCTGTTAGGATTTTCTGATCTTATTTATATTCTTCTTGTAAACCGGATGACTTGTAACGAGTGACGGTGAGGTGAATATAGTACAGACAAACTAGATGTGACTTAAATTGGATGAACCAGGATAAATCACTGTGTCTATTTTCTTTTCTTTTTTTCGTTTACGATTTGTGTGAGTCGATTGCAACAACTCCTTCCATAATCGGGGTAGTTAGTTGCTTCCAATTTAGAAGTAAATTATTGCTCACAATGAATCCATTCAAGTCTCTTTGCCTTGTAGAAAGATACAAGATATACAAGTGTCAAATTAAGAGCCCCATATATATTATATTTATATAAAACAAATCAATGACAGAATTGAACTATGGACGGACCATTTTCTTAATCATACAATGACAAAGGGAAAAAGTCTCAACTCAGTGAGGTCTGACACAATCACGCAAACCCTTTCCCAAGTTTGATAATTACGTTCATTTGGGGGTCCTCTAGCTTCTCTATAGGTACTATAGACTTTCTTCATTTATCTATTATTATGTTATGCCATTGGAAAACGACCTTGTTATTTTATTCATCAAATTACCACAAGTTGTGCTAACAATATTAGTTGGTCATGAATGGTCATGTCATATTATCATCAATCAGCAATAATATGTGTAATTTTGGTTGTGCACTAACCAAACCAAGACGGCAAAACCAAACCTAGCTAGCAACAAATATATGTGGCCACTTTTATATTATGCACAGATCTTCCCATCTTAATTTGTTCTACCATAGCTATATAGGATTCTTCATTTTCGGAAGGATTCTTCTTCAACGGAAGTGCTACACTCCACATAGATTCTCTTGTAGGAGCTAATCACAAGTCACAACCACGACCAGCAATCGGAAATGGATTCTCTCACGTCTTGTTTTCATATGATTATACGAAAAATTACAATCATTTATTCAAATATCAACACTATAATTTCAATAAATATATTCATAAAATGAGAAAATGAAAATAGTAACTTTGAGTTTATTTGATTGTGTTTTGATTTTTTTTTCTTAAAACTGTTTTATAGAATAGTTAATGAAATAAGTATTTTTTGTTTTTTTATTATTTTTTTATTTTGAAAATTAGAAGTTAAAACACAAAACAAAAAATAATTTAAATATGTTCTCTTAATTTATTCTAAAAGCTAAAAAATAATTATAATTTTTAGAATTACTTTTATAAAACAAATAGCATCAAATAGACTTTTTTTTCTTCTGAAAATCAAAAAATTATTTTTGAAAATAAAGTTCAAACAATAATTTTTTAACGTTAATATATGAATAAATGATGGAGTAATCAAATGATGGTAGCTCAGTTAGCACATGAGAACTGAGTAGATAAGGATGAGAATGTGTTCGATCCTTTCCAGTATCATCTTTGGTAGAAATTTAAAGTTTTAATCCTTGACTAGCCACAAATAGAATTGCTTCCTGCGAGATACATGTGATTTATCAAAAAAAATAAAAAATGATTGAAATATTTTTTTGATATGTTTATGTGCAAACAAAACATGAGAGATTAGATTCCCAAATAAGTGTCAATTCTGCCAGCATTAAATTAAGTCTGAGAAATCATAGATGTATAAAATTTTGGTACAACTATATAGTATTAATTTAGGAGATAGGACATTTTTTAACCTAAAAAGCTAAAGTAGCATGATGTACAGAACAAAGTTTCCCAATATATTTATACAAGTTTGTTTTTCTCTCATTCAGGTAAAATATAAACATTTCCCACAATTGCCTATTAGATGTAGCAGCCGCTTTGGTATCTTTTGGACGGCTGTCAAGAAATATGATAAAGGTTACAGAGAATGGATGAAGCACATGACTGATATATACCAGACCCATGTTACTTGCTAATAGTTGAGAAGAATACAATTCGTTGTAATATACGGACACTTTAAAAAACTTGATCTGTTCTGTTTGATATTTTGATATTTTCTGACACTTTAACATGCATTATAAAGACTTAAAAAAAAGTTCAAAGGTTGTATTATATTGCATTTTTAATTTCAACTATTAGATTTGTTGGATTATGATTAACATTTTATTAAGTTTAATATAAATATTTGTGATATCTTATGTTTCTTTGCAAAATTAATAAGTATTATAAGTTTAATTTTAGTTTTTTGTTAAATTATTGAATATTAAATATAACATACATTACATAATTAAAAATATTAAAATATGTCCTAACGTGTCGAAATTTTGTACCTTTTTAGAATTAATATATTGAAGTGTCATATCGTGTCCCATGTTCGATATTTGTATCAGTGTAACATAGGTTACAATTAATTAGGTGGTTAAAATGTTGAATCCTATGCACAAAATTACCAAGGATCCAATGGAATTTTTACAGCAGACAAAAGTTCCTATATAAAGAAACAATAATATATATATATATATATATATATATATATATATATATATATGGGCTTATCATTTCTCAAGCTGGCGGAGATAAAGTTATCTCTGGCTACTAAATCATAACCGTACAAAGATGGATTAATGGTGATAAAGGAAGAGATAGAAAAAGGGAATCATAACCATTCAAAGGTAAATCAATTAATATAAGGAAATAAATAACCAAAACGACGTAGTTTTGGGGTGGCCGGAGATAAATTTATCTCAAGCAGCTTGAGAAATGTTTTTTCCTATATATATATATATATATATATATATATATATATATATATATATATATATATATATATATATATATAGGAAATATTACTCACCTTTCACACGAGATATATCTCACATTTTCTTTCACTTCGATTTTCGTACCCCACATTTTTTTTTCTTTTTTCTTGTAATGGTGGGAGCCACCAACTTTCTCTCTACAACATAAGATATCTATCTTATGTTAATTGAGACTAATAAAATCCTATATATATATATATATATATATATATATATATATATATATATATATATACATATATATATATATAGAGGTAGGATCTTTTGACATCGGTGTCAAATTTAAAGTTTGATACCTTATCTGAGAGTCATTAGATAAAAAAAGATCAATGACTGATTTGTAAGCATGTGATACCATTGATATTTTTTAATCTAACAGCTATAAAATGAGGTGTCAAAGGATCCTATCCTACATATATATGTATATATATATATATGAGGTAGGATCATTTGACACCGGTGTCAAATTTGAAGTTTGACACCTTATCTAAGAGCCGGTAGATCAAAAAAGATCAACGACTCTGATTTGTAAGCATGTGACACCATTGATCTTTTTTGATCTAACGGCTCTCAGATGAGATGTCAAACTTTAAATTTGACACCGGTGTCAAATGATCCTACCCCTATATATATATATATGAGGTAGGATCCTTTGACACCGGTGTCAAATTTTCAATTTTGACACCTCATTTGAAAGTCGTTAGATCAAAAAGGATCAATGGTGTCACATGCTTGCAAGTTGGAATCGTTGATTTTTTTGGAGACTAGGGTTTTAGAAGTTTATACCTCTAGAATTTCACCCTTTATAAGTAGAGAGAGTTTACTTTTAGTGGATAAAGCCTGATATTACCTAGAACCGTGGGATCCATTATGTGAACATAATATATTATTGGGAGTTATTAATCTCATGTTGCTTGAGATAGTTCTCTCATGTGTGTGAGATAAATATGTGAAGTCTACATTTTAAAACAAAATGAAAAAGAAATAGAAAAAGTTAGCACAAAATTCGATGAGTGTGTAAAATGAGATAGCTATCTCCAACGAAATGAGAAAAATATTTTCCAATATTATTTCATTGATGGACTCTAGTAGCATATATAGCTAGGATGAGTTGTGGTTTAGTTGAAGAACGATTCTTTGGATAATAGTCATCATGGGTGCTTAATATAATCTTTATGAAATCATAAATTCTCTTCTTTTTTTTTTTTTTTTTTTTTTTTGTCAAAAATATAATGACTCTCTAAAGGGGACGACATATATTCACAGAGTGTGAAGAGACAAATCTTCAATTGACCTTTATCTCTAATCCACATCAAGTCACAAAAGACTTGTGCATAGCAAAGCTACCAAACTATAGCAGAAATGGAAGAACTTTGTTAATCAAGAGTTTCAGAGGTCTGTCTACTAGTTGGTTCATTCAGAGACAACTAAAGAGAAAGTCAAAGTCACAAACACTTCAACATCAATATGTTACTTTGATGTAGTTTCAACAAGTTCAGCAGAAATGTTATCTCTTCTGACTTTTACCTTGTTTATATCAAGAGGGAACAAACAAGTTCTTGTTCTTCATTTTAGGTGGTGTTTACATGGGAATTGACTAATGCTTTCTAGTTCTACTTTGTACTAACCCCACCCACTTTTACCACTTAAGCTAAGCCCAAACAGAGGAGAAAACTCCTCATTCATGCATAATTGTGGATGCATGACATGTTGCAAGTTATTCATTTTAGGGAAATGTTATTCTTATATTAATGTAGATAAGTTATCTTATGCTAGTGAAACAAAATAATAAAAGGGACCCACAAATAATTGGAGAGAAAAAAAATAAAAGTAGAACCCACCTTTGTTATGTGTGTGTAGGAATATAGGTTATCTCATGTTGAATGAGATAAATATAACTCTTCATTTTAATGATATATTGATATAGAACAAACAAAACATAAAGAATCAAGGTCACAACTTAGAATTTGTAATAATGTAACATAGCCATGCTTGTATACTGAAAAAAAAAGGGGTCTATATTCTGATATACACCGGCCAAACATCAGGACCACTAACATTCCGCTTCATATTCTGAATAGTTGGTGTTGTCTTTTTGTTATTTGAGGTGACTTAAGGAGCACAATTAAGATATTATTATGTAATTTATTGAAAAGCAGATATAATTTTATTTATTCACTTTAAGAACATTGAAAGAGCCCTCTTAAAAATAAAGAAATAAATAGAACAAAAGAAGTTAGTTGAGCCATGTTTTTAAAATTTTAGCTGGTGTAGCACTAAGTCCCTAGTTCCATAAGTGCTGCAAAATACTTAAAATTTATCCATAAAAAATACAATATATGAAAATCACAATGAGCGAAGCTCAGCTAGAATTGTAAATTACTATAGAAACCTTGTTCCATAATGTATTATTGCGCAATCGTCCCTTGGCTTTTGCAACATACAATTTGTTTGAGTTCAATGCAACTAAAAACACTGTTTCTTCCAAATGCTTGATTCGTTCTTATGAATAGGAATTGGTATATAAGCAAACTTTAAGAGTTACATAAGTGTCTATTGTTGTGTGGAGATTATTTAGATTGAATATGTGTGTGTGTGTGTGTTTTATGGTTCTTCCTGTCACTTTGGTCTTTTGAGAAAAAAAAATTGTAAAAGTAAAAGATTAATATATTAATACTTGTACACTTCACATCCTTCCATGAAACTTTTTTCACCATAACTTTTTTCTGAGTGGTTACATTTGTGCATGTAACTTTTCCCTTTACATTAGTGGGCATTACATTTTTTATATGACATTCAAGAATTGGTGACTAGGACAAAATTTGAAATTCAGCCTACCAATTCCCTCAAACCTTGTCAATCTCTTTCTCTCTATCTATCTAGTATCTGGTCTAAACTTCAAATGGAAGAATGTAGCTGCTTTGATGAAATGATTCTGTGTAAAACCTTGCCAGAAACATCATAGAACTCAACATTTGAATATGTTTGAGTCAATTGCACAGACATGAAACCTTGTCCATCATAGAAGAAATTTAGACCTCTTCTGTTTGTTTCTTTAATGTCTCCTCTCCATGCCTTTGATCCTGCCCCACTAGTCAGGAACTGAATAGGACTGCAAACAAGTTCCTTTATTAGACCAACATATATAATTATTGTTTTGTTCTGTGTAAATAATTTGTATGCTTTCATTTAATTTTACCTCTGTGTGTCACTGATGTGTTCAAGACAATGATCATGACCATTCATGTAAAAATCAACATTATTTGCCTGAAATTTGATAGTAAAGTCATCAGTGCTTGGCAGAAGATCAAAGAAAGGGAGGATCATGTTATTCATTCATTTGGGTAGGGGGAATATCTGCATCCTCAGTTTATCTTACCTGAAGAATTGGCAGAAGCTGGCTTATAAGTTCTTGAGTATCACCATGATGCCCAATACTTCTAATTGCATGATGACCAACAACAATCTTCCATTTTGCTGTTGATTCCCTCAATGCCATTTCCAGATCCTGGAACATAATATTGCTATCTAAGTATAATACTAGCAATAATCTGAGATGAATGCACCATTTTTATTATAAAATGTGGTCATTTAGTTGTAATAAAATGTCATTACAAATTAAACTAGAAACCATATTTGTTTAGTTTGAACCTAACTGAAAAATTGAAAATCACTTAACTAGAATTATACTTGCACCAACTGCAAACTTGGATAACATGTTCCCTGTTCTAGTTGAATACCAAGACAAGTAGGGCTAATTTTGCACAAATGCACAAGTATATGTGGGAAAGAAATTTATGCATACCTTCAGCAAGTTGATAATATAAGATTTTGGTGGGTTAATTCCCCTCCAATCATACTTGTGTCCTGCTGATTCAGTGAAGTACTCTTGAACAAAAGGAGTGGTGTCCACAAAGAAAATCTCAGCCAGCTCTGCAGAAGAAGAAGAAAAAGACATAAAAAACTACATGGACTTAATTTCTATGCATTTTAGTGCCTAGAAGATGACCCCAAAAAAAAAAAAAAAATTACTAGAGCAAGCAAATACCTGAATCTACAATAAAAGACCTTAAGCAAAACCATCTGCTATCAATTTCCTTAAGGACTGGGCTCAATTGAGCTTCTGCATCACCCCTATAGTCATGGTTGCCCAACACTGCATACCAATAATGAAACAAGTTATAACATTTGAAGATATGGTTCAAGAACACAATACTCTAATTTATCTCATCATTGATGTATGTGTTTTAGAACTTACCGCTATACCACTGTTTTTGCAAGCTTTTTGCTGTGTAAATGTTGCTGAATGACTCCTCAAAAGCTGCATCATGTTCACTAGTTAGGCCATTGTCATAGAAATTGTCTCCAGTGGAAACTACAAAGTCAATGTCAAGCTTCTCTCCAACCTTTCCCATCTGTGTAATCAATCAATCAAGTTCCTTTTGTCAGTTACATCACATAAACTTAACATAGAGAGAGTCTTCAGCAATAAAGAACAAAGATAAAATTGAGTTATATCCATAAGCATTGATGAGAGTCTTCAGCACCTTAATGCAATGAAATTGAAGTCTTTTACAATAACTGCTTATGAATGAATGAATTTGCATGAGTCATAATTTATTTTACCTGGGAAGCAACTTGAGATTGGTTGTATAGACCTCTTCTTCCCCAGTCACCAACCACCAAAAAACTAAGAGAACCATCATTTTTGGATTTGTGTGTAAATCTTTGGAGCTCTGCAGATGCATAAAGAACACAAAAACCAAAGATAATGGTAAAGAGAAAGAACATAAACAAAGGGTTGTTGCTGAGAGGGACCATAGCTTTAGTGGGTTGAAACTTGAAACCACTCAATTCAACAATGTTTGGTGTGTCCTTGTCAAGATAGAAACATATATATGTTCTTTTATATCATACAATGCCGCAGGCAGGGGAAAAGAGAGACAAGTTCAATGCAAATTAATAATAGAGTACTTAAAAAAAATAGTAGCATTCAGACATCTAAATCACAAAATCTAGCCACCGTTTCACATTTTATATTTATTTTTTACGTAAAGAAAGACAAGATAAGAAAAGAATCTATCGAAACATGAATTTTTTATTATTGTTTTTATGTGTAAGTCTCATTATTCCTTAGAAAATCAATATAAGATTAGAGATTGTGTATGAGATAGTGACTAAATGGTTGGTTGGAATTCTTGGCTTATTCATAGCTAAACACTTATTTTGCAAGGAAAATTCTATGTATATTACCATTTAAATTTAGAAAAGACTTGATAGAACTTTTTGGAAAAGGAAGGAAAGAAATGATGTAGATAATTGATGAATAATATATTTTGATGTCATTAATATTGAGATTGAATGAATCTGTCAGAAAAACCAAAATAAACCATAATGGACCGATCATTAAATGTAATGAATATGATAAGATCATAGGCAAGTAACACCAAAACTAGTGGGCTGATAAAGTGAACAGATGAATCAGTAAACATGGTTTTTGGTATGGCATGAGTTGTGATATATGCGAAATGCCATAGAATATTCTAAAAGATAGGAATATGCAACAGAATATTCTGATGCTCCCACTGCACCTGTTCTGTGAAATTGGTTTTTCTTCCCAAACAAAAATATTTAAAAAGGGAAAAAAAATATAGGACATTATTGACTTGCATTATTGAGCAAAATAAATATGCATTCTGATTTTGGACTCGCTCCAATATTGGTGGCAGGCCCAACTTAATTCATTCCATGCAAAAGTATTCATTTTAGTACTCATAGTTGTTGGCCCATCCAAAAGCAAGCCCTTGATCTTGGCCCAATTCAAATTAATATGACTCAAGAACATTGAAACTGATTAGTCTGTACGAAACATTGGCTGTTATAGAATTACTAAGCATGAACTCAAAATTCACTTCCCTAAATCCACTTACATTAACAACTCCTTACACAAAAAGAATATCTCACTCTTCTATGCACCATTAGTTATGGATCTCTGCAGGGTTACATTAACACTTTTTAAAGCAAATCCACATACAATCCAATGGCTATACTTTTTGTTTCTTTAAACTTTTTTTTCTTTTTTCTTTTTCATTTTGCATACATAGTAGCATTTTACTTACAAAATACAAATACAGATGTCTGAACAAGTAGATGTTTCTTAGTCATGTTGTTGTTATGCCTCCCCATCATCAGTTTTCTTCCTCTCTATCTATTACTCTCTTTTTTATAGGTGAGGTTAATTATTTATTCTGTTCATGTTCATCTTGGTGTTTTATGGTACTTAAGTCTCAGGTATTTGTCTTGATTATTATATGGATATTTGATGAAATTGATTAGTGTTTTATGACTATTTGTTTAAGGTTTTTGATGAAGAGCTAACTTCAAATATATCCTTAAAGCTGGTTCATTGATGCTGTATCACTCTTTCCTGAACCTGTAGATGAAGCTGTGACTGATGTGAAATCTTTAAGGTTGATCCCTATAACTTCTTCCTTAGATTCTGATGTAAAACATGCTTGAGAATAAAGTCACTTATCACAATCACCCTAGCACTTAAAATTGTGGAATTGCTAAATATGAATGCTTTCACAATCTATCTGCTAAGGCATCTAGAGTAATATTTTCACCAATTTGGCCTAGTTACCTTTTACAAGATCAGAAATTCTAGCGTGGAAGTTATTGCAGCTATGGAATACTAGTACAAGTTAAGAACATAATTACCCAAAGATTCCAATCATTCCACAGAAAGGTCATGTTTGAAAATGACTTCTTGGTTTTAATGAATTTCTTCTTTTATATAAGAAAAAAAAAATCTTCTGAAGTTCTGATTAAGGAAACTACCTCTGTTTGCTGTGAAAGCATCAAATAATTGTCCTAACCAGCAGATATCCATCTATAAGAATTTGATACCTTTTTCTACCAATTATCTCTTCTCAAATCCTAACTTTGTTAAATGATTATTTATCCTCATGCCTGTCTTTAGTATCACTCTTATTTCCGGTAGCAGAATCTCCTATATTTATATAATATTTCTTAGTGTTATCTAACTCTTTTAGCGTTATAACATAAAACAGTAAATTGAAAGCAATCATGCTAGTAATATTGTATTATAAATTAAGAAAAACCAGGTAGGAATCTTTAGAAATTCTCCCTGTTACATTCATTCTCGTGATTCATGCCAATATTATATGTAACAATTAAATCTAAGCATAACTATATATATGTTTTAAGACTATTGGTTAATTGTATACACTGAGTTTCTGTTTGAAAATTGCAAGGGAAAGTAATCTTTAGAGTTTACTTATCATACTTTAACATGCATAAAAAACAGACAAAAGGGTTATCTTTAAATGTTGATTGTTGATAATTTGCTTTACTCTAATGATATAGGACTAGCTTGTAGTGTGGTAGATCCATTCAACAGTGCTGTTTGTTAAGTTGTGGGTTATGGCACTTCCTTGAAAGAAAAAAAGAACCAATAACTAAAATGGAAAAAAAAAAAAAAATCATTGTTAGAGGAAGAAACAATGAGGGGATTGAATTATTGGTCCTTTCTTCTTTTTCTTTTACCTCCATTTTCTTCCTTCACTTTCCTTTGTTTTGATGCTTATATCCCCACTATTCCCTTAAAAAGAAAACAAATAATATATGCTTTTAGTTTGATTAAAGGTTATTCCCCTCATAATTTTCTTGCAGAAGCAATTGTGAAGTTGCTGAATGAACTTTTAGTGATCAAGAATGGTTGAGTGACACAATGTACTTCCATTTCCTCCCCTTTTATACCCTCTACGTATGCTCATTGTATTTGATATTAAACATGATACACTGCTTTTCTTCTTTTTGACTTTAATAAGATGCCCTATCATTTCAGGAATATAGTCACCAGCTGTGTCTAATGTATGAACCTTTTTAGTTTGAGATGATCCATTCTTATTCTTATGATTATATCCAGATTTTTTAACAAAAAAAAAAAAAAAAAAATTCTTCAGAATGATGGTGTGTGAGTGACAGATCTTGAAGAGAAACTCTAATCTAATAAATGAAAATAGTGCTCTATCTATTAAATTCACCCCATAAATTAATGAGAAGGTATAATCAATTTTCATGAGAATATATAGTCATATCGGAAGAGGTATATGTATTATGATTCAATGTTGCATGTCCAAAATAACTGCACTTATGTCAAGGTTTTTTTCTAGCTATTCTATTTGAAATCTATTTTTTAATTATATAATGAAAAAAATTCTTTTATAACACTATTCAGAAGGAGTGTTCTTTAGGTAACTAACAGAATTGGGCTAGGAGTCTAGGACTTGAATACAATGAAAATTGGTACCCTGCTTCAGAAAATATTAACGTTTATGCAATGGCTAAAGCGGAGATATTTATAGGTGAGAAAATATTTATTAAGAGGAGGGATATTCTTACTATCAAAATCTTCTATTACTAACTCACTACCTATCTAATCACCATTGGATCATCATTTTCTCTTTCTTCAAAAACATTTTAGCATTTTCTCTCTTTGATTCAATGGTAATTAGATAGATAATAAGTTAGTAGTAAAAAAATTTGATACTAAAAATATCCTTCCTCGTTTACTACTCATTTAGTAATGACGAGAGAGTTATAATTGTTTTGTTCAGTGGGCCCCATTGTAATGCTTAAGACAAGCTCATCTGTGTATAAAGTGAGTTGTGCAGACAGTGAGATATTCTTTGAGAGTCTAAAAATCTCATAAATGAACCTCTAAGGCAAGACCTTCAAGACATGGCTGATGAGATGAGTCCAGAATAATATTGAAAACCAATTAAAATAAAAAAAATAAAAACCATATTTTAGCTTAGTTTTATTTTGGAAATTCATTCAATTCAAACCGAACCAAATTTATACTCACATGCACATATAATTTTATTTAGAAAATTACTATAATATTATTACTTATTATTTGTATCATTGACGTATCCTATGGGCTCAGCATCTGGCAAGCTAAAGAAATAAGAAATAGGATTTCATATCATATGTCTAATGGATAAGCGATAATATTACTTATCCTATCCCTCAACAATTATGCACAGTAATTTATTATCCCTTACAGTGTATTTTGTATAAACTTCCATAAGCATATTGATCCAAGATACAATTACTAACTTTTAATTAAACATTTTTGATCCACTACTAAGACTTAGTTTTAAATTAGTTCTATACTTCGGCTCTTTTGATTCCCATATGTCACTTGTGGTAGAAACTTAAATATTTCTATTTCTGACACGCTTCACATTTTATATTAGTTTCATAGTCGGCTGAAAAAACTAAAACTTGTAAGAATATCAGAAGAGTCAAGTCGCCTTAAAAAAATTATTAAGGTTGAATTAATTAAAAAAAAAACCATGCAATGCAATATTGGAAAGCAACGTCTCCATCCAATCCATGTAATTCAATAGATGTGAAATCTGAGTGACAACCAGTTTCCATCTCTATCTCTCTCTCATACACATTTTTTTTTTTTTTTTTTTGTCTCCTATAATTCTGACTCTTTAATCAATGGGTGGAGCCGTGGAGGTCCCTTAAAGCCTCCATCAAGTTGCCAAGCTAAATTATATAAGGAACCATAAAAGTCAAAAATGGAATAAAAAGAAAGAAAAGGAAAAAAAAAACTCAAAATCCAAAATACTTGATGTATTGGCAGGACAAAGCAAAACCCACAATTTTTTTTTATGATAAAGTTGAAAGATTAGTTCTGATGCCCTGCC